CGCTTGTGGAAGCAGTGCCTGGACCCATGCATTTGGGAGATTGTTTTTTTCGCCTTGGGTACCGGGTTGTCGTTTTGAGTTCGGGGCTTCCAGACTTTAAAGCAAGAAGCAGTTGAAGAGCAACCCAGAAAGAAGGAGTTGAAGAGAAAGAACATGGTTGCGACTCTGCGACATTGAGTCTTGTTCAGATCGTCCTTCAATGCTTCGTTGAATGCGAGGATGAAAGAACCGCCCTTGACCCCAGGTCGCCAACCCTAACCATAAGCTTCAAAACCCCAGACTAAACCCTCACGACCCTACGCCTTAACACCCGAAAACTCTTAGTCCTGTAGCCCTAACGCTCTTAAGCCCCAAAGCCTTACGTCCCTGAAGCCTTGAAGCCCTAAAGCCCTGAAGCCCTAAGGCTCAAAAGCCCAAAGCCACTTGCAAGGTTTCTGGCCACGACCTGATCCGTACCGTGCGCCTCCGTGGTCCGAATGGCAAGATGATCGAGGGCTTCTTTGTCAACGAGGCTCTGGGGTTTCGGGTTCAAGGGTTTCGGGTTTAGGGTTTAGGGTTTGTTCGAGGACTTCGGGCATAGCCTTTTTTCTTTTCTGAAGGCGTGGTGAAGGGTTTGTCAGCGGAGGTGGTGGGGATGATATGACGTGATGAAGTTCATCATGTTGGTGTGATGCTGGTGGTGATGTCAGGTTGTCGAAGTCGGTTGGCGTGGCCATTTGGACTCTAATGCTATGATGCTGTCAGAATCTAACTTAATATCTCCTATTATGTCTTAATGCACCGGACAGGGCCAGCGGGAGTTGCTGCTCATCGTTTTGGGCCGGGTGACCTAGAGAAATTCCAATACGCGTGCCACTCGGGGATTTAGGTGTCTCGTACGATCAGCGTGATCCGTTTAGGTGAAATTCCAATTGAGTCCTCCGCTTTTGCAACTATCTCGGGGTCAATGGTGTGTCCGATTCCTCCGATCGCTGCACGCCCTTGTCAATTCTACTACGTGCGCCGCACGCTGCTCTCAAATTGACAACCATCTCGGTGTGGGTCTGGAGGAAGGAATTTAGACGCGTTCCTGAGTCCACCGGACACCTTGTGACTTGTGGGAAGCTACAGTTCCCGCTTCCCACAATTGCTGTGCGTGAGGTGGTGCTATGCTTCGCCTTTTCCGCATGCTGGCACGATCCATATAAATTACCAGGCGCGAGCTGCACGCACGATCCATCGTTGATTCCAAGACATGGGTTGCATGCTGGCCGCGATCCATTGTACATGAACAGACACACACACAACCACGCTTTGAGGGCTTCTTCGTTCAGGAGCGCCGGCATGCAAGCCATGTACTTGAACTTAACAGTGGATTGCTCTCGCCGGAGAATGTGGACAGGGTCGCCATGTACACGGGCCTGCCAGAGCCTTGCCGAGTGCAAATGCAGTATGTAAAATGCCTCCAGACTCCTCATGGATGGGTGGGTGGGTGGGGTAGGTGGGCGGGGTGGGTGGGTGGCTGGAGGGATGGATGGATGGATGGATGGATGGATGGATGACATGTCGTCTCGCTTTTGCAATTCGGGGACACCCGGTCTCTAGCTTACATCTGGGGGCTAGGCTTTAGGCTTTCGTTTGTGTTGGGGCTTGCAGACTTCCGGGAGTGCCAGCTTGGGCAGTCTTCTCGGGGTCACGGCCGGAGAAGGTGCGACAGCAATTGGGGTTCTGGGTTTAGGGTGTCTTTAGTTTTGAGCTTGTATTTAGCTGCTTTCCACACCGGTCTTCATCTCGAAGAGCCTCGGCTCAATCTAAAGACCCTGGCCTTGCAATCCTACCTACCAGCCTTTGCGGCCAAGCCCCTCTAAACCCAAGCCCAAATTTGGAACCGCTAAAGCCACCCCAACAAGCCCACGCCCCCAAACTTCTGGAGAAAGGTGCCAGACAGCAAGTCCTTGCCGGACACGATCTTTAGCAGTGAGGCACCTCTGGCAAAACCGAAATCTTTGCTCATGTCCGGTGCAGATTTTGTCAAAGCAGGAGGTAGGGCTCAGGGTTTAGGATTCAGGCGCGGGCCTGTACACAGCATTCGCTTAGCTTATCTTCCTTCGATTACAAGGAAGACATAGGTGGGCCGTCAGGGCCCGAGAGTTGGGACACTCCCTCCCCCAGGATTGCGGGCCAGACGACGGGGCTCTCGTGAGATACATCCTCGACAAGGCCGGGCATCGGGCTTTGCGCTGGCAGGCTTCGGTTGTTTAAGTTCAGAGCAAGCCCCATGTGTCCAGATTCTCTGTGGCTTCCTCTTGAACCTCGAAAATGGTACTTGCGAGTTACTCTTGTGGACTGATGCCAAGGACGTCTCTGTGACTCTCCTCTCCGGTCTGGTTGTGAACTTGGGATGTTCATGGGACACACTTTACCTGTCGTCATGAGACATAACTACACACGTGCTTTTTCACGACATTCCAAGACCAGCAGAGGAATGTCACCATCCACGCAAGCGTTGGGCAAGCAACGGCCATTCTCGAACAGGTCCAAGACGGAAGGATCGTTGGAGAACATTCGCGCAACGAATCGGATGTGGGGTATGTATACCTGCGCTTCGCACGCCCGGCCGGACTTGCGGAAGGGAGCTCTTTCCTGGTGGCATGCTGCGATGATGAGGCCGTGGAGTTGCAGAATGCTTGGGAGACTTCTGATGACGAGAATGCTTCCATCAACATCTTTGATGAGGAGGGCCGTTGTGGCGAGTACTTTCTCTACTTCGGTCAGCCGGAAGATGCCGACCCGCAGGTGTGCGCATCAAGGCAGAGCGGCACCAGCACAACAAATTCCGTCACAGCTGCTGGTGCTTCGTCCACTGAACCTTCAACTGAAGCAAGCGTCACAAGCACTGGTGTCCCAACCAGCACTGAGAGCAGCACGCCTGCAAGCTCCAGCACAACCTCCTTGCCAGGTGCTGGTGCCTCGTCCACCACCGCAAGTGAAACAAGCACCACCGGCACTGAAAGCACCAGCACAACCTCCTTGCCAAGTGCTGGTGCCTCGTCCACCACCGCAAGTGAAACAAGCACCACCGGCACTGAAAGCACCAGCACAACCTCCTTGCCAAGTGCTGGTGCCTCGTCCACCACCGCAAGTCAAACAAGCACCACCGGCACTGAAAGCACCAGCACAACCTCCTTGCAAAGTGCTGGTGCCTCGTCCACCACCGCAAGTGAAACAAGCACCACCGGCACTGAAAGCACCAGCACAACCTCCTTGCCAAGTGTTGGTGCCTCGTCCACCACCACAAGTGAAACAAGCACCACCAGCAGCGTTGAAAGCAGCGCACCTGCCAGCTCAAGCACAACCTTCTTGCCAAGTGCTGGTGCCTCGTCCACCACCGCAAGTGAAACAAGCACCACCGGCACTGAAAGCAACGCACCCGGCGGTCCCAGCACGTTCACACCCACGAGCTCTAGCATACCGTCGTCGTCGTCGACTACATCCCTGACGACTGCTGCAGGCTCGCCCACCGAAACTTCGACAACCGGCTGGAGCACGGGAGTGTCGACCAGTTCTCCACGTCGGTACTACAGGTACTACAAGCGCTCGCGGCGCTCATGGAAGTGTGTCTGGGGAGAGAAGTGGCGCTGCTGGGGTCTCTTCTGCTGCGACCAGAACCGTCGCTGCCTGCCGCGCATGCTCTGCAGGCGGAGAAGCCTTTGCTGATTGATTCATGCTGGTTAGCCTTCATGCCTTTGCTTTCTGACATGTAAGATTCGCATATGCCACGGAGGCAGCCGTCGAGCAGTTCCGCCCAGGCAGCGCAGCTCTCAGGTATGCGCGCTTCGGAGATACAGCTTCTCACGGATGGGGGAGATGCCTCCCACACGTACAATTGCAAGGATATTTGCAAGGACGTTTGTGAAATGCAGCATCCGTCTCCAACAAGATGCCCGCACCTCTGCAGCACAAGACTCGATGCTGTCTTGCACATCGCGCAGGTGTTTTGCGTGCAGGGCCTGTGCTCAAGCGTCACCTCGACAAATCAGACGCACGAGGAGGCCGGCTTATTGCAGAAGCGAGTGCGGCGGACGGAGGTCTTCAGCGAGGAGGCCGAGGTCGGTTGCCAGCAGCCGGCAAAATATTGCCGGCTCTTTTGCAAGCAGGGCGTCCTTCTCGAGAACACCATCCAGCAGTGTCTGGCCGGCTGCCAGGCGAAATTCTCGCTGGTGTTGACGCAGATGCAGGCCTTTGTGAGGGGAGGCTGCTGTGAATCTCGTTGAATTTCGTGATGCCTGAGCTACAGAAGACAGGCGCCACGAAGCGTTTGCGACATTTTGGTGTTAGAGTGGGAGCCTGTGGGAGTATTCAGTGCAAGTTAGGGCGATCGTGTAAATACAGGCTTCCGTTCGGTTGCTGTGAATGACCAGACCGAGGACATTTTGAGGAGGTCTTTTCCAGCAGCTCTTAAATGTTTTGTTACAGAAAAATGTGTCAGGGCTGCAGGGTCTTTTGCCCAAACGCGGTTTTTCCCTGCAGCCTGCGCAAAGCATCGTCGCGCGCTGCTTGTAGTTCTACAGGCAGGGCGGCTTAGTAGAAGCTTTGACCAAGAGAACTTTTTACCGCCAAAAGATGGATCAAGCACTGTACTGCCTTCGAAGGCGTGTCTCTTCAGGGATGGCTGGTTGAGGCTTTGCAATGTGGAATCCGCATGTCTTCGATACACCGCTGCACTGAAGCGCTAACTCCAAAATGTCGTGTTCGGACGCAGCCCTGAAACCCAACGGCCTGTAGCCGGATGAGAAGCTCGATTTGCTGAGCTCGTCTTGTGTCCGGCTCGTTGGTTTTCACTTTGAGGTATGCGACAGAGTGTCATGGCCCCAGTGCACCACCATACTGCAAGAAGTACTCCCAACGGGTTAGGCTTTCGGGTTTCATGCTGTGCAGTGTTGGAGTGAACATGTCAAAGCCCGCAGCTGGTTTCTGCTCGCAGTACTGGATTCGGACGTGTCGGGTCATCCTATCGAGCCATGGACGCAGTTCCCCTTTTTGGCATCACGGCGTTTCTCCCAAGCGTGGATGATGGTACGCAGGGGGTTCAACCTGCAGTCGCAGAGGTAAAGGAGACTTCGCCGGAGTTCTTTGATGCCCAGCAGCAACGAGACAGCGGCTTGGTTAGTATTTTTGTACGGTAGCAGGATGCCGATAGAAGTCGACATCTCCTTTGGGCAAGCAGAGACGGATAAGAAAGCTTTCGGATTTGCTTGGGTGACCTCTAGTGTTTCCGCGGTCCTCGCATAGCAGAGTGACGAAGTCTTCAAGCCCTTGAAGATGTGATTTAATCATCGCGGCTCACGGTGCAGAATGCCGTTCACGTTTTAACCTCTTCTGATTGAACCTGTTGCTTCTAAAAGCCACTACAGAGAAGTGCGATCAGGGGGTGTCGCGATGAATGTGAAGTCTGGCGCAGAGGCCAGGCTGCAGGCTTTGCCAGATGACCCCAACTGCGAAGTCAAGGTATGTAGTTAGGTTCTGGGGGCTTAGCGTTCAGGGTTCAGGGTTACGGGCCGAGGCATGCCAATGTGTTCCGGTGCACTTCGAAGCACGCCTGCTACATGATTCGATGACTCCCGTAAAGTTAATTGGCAGGTGCAATGATCTGCCTACCGCAAGCAAGGACTGGGATTCGGGTTGTCAACTCTTGTAAATCTTCTCTGCTTCTGTTCGATTCTGAGTGCTATGAATTGCTCGGAAGCAGTTGTCCATCCCAGCAACATGTGAAGCTCTCGGTTTTCTTGAAGTGGATCAATCAGGAGGCTTACCAATTGGCGCAGCAGGTGCGTGATGCCGCTCGCTGGTACAGTGGTCGAGGGATGTGGGAGGGTCTTGTGGCTCTGAGCAGTGTCGGAAGATTTCCCACTCAGTGTTTCTGGAAAGGTGAGGTTGATGGTGTGTCGTGTTCGAGTCGGAGTCATCTTGTGCTCAAAGTCGACCTTTCTCTCTCTTCTCTCGAACAAAGGACACCAAGAACATGATCAATTGCTGTGTGGATGAGAAGTCGAAGGTCTGCCATGATGGGCTGCTCGAGATGATCGACGCCCGCGAACGCGCGCGGACGCATGTCTTGGGGTTCCATGTGGAATGATTTGTCAGGCTCGGTTTTCAGGTGCTGCAATGAAGCAGCGGCAAATCATGTACCCAGGAGTAGCATGAACTGATGTTGTGTATGTCATGTATGTAGTGCAAGGCCAGGTCCTAGGTTGAGCAGAAGTCCTCACGTGGTGCCCAAATTTGCAGTATCTGGCCTAGCCTCGACTACCTCCTCAGTGGATGCAGGCAGACACTTCGAGCTTGTCCTGGCGATCGCGAGGGGCGGGCACCAGTGTGGAAACCTTTTGCAGGCCGTGACGGACCTGTACCAGAGGATTGACAAGATATTTGACATCGAAGGTGCTCGGGTTCAATCTGGACCGGGGGATATGTGTGCGTGTGTACTTGTATCGAATTTGAGAGCCCATCGTTTCCTTGGTGTCTTGGCAAGCCAGGCTCCGGCAATGCTGGCAGTAACGTCAGCTTCAACAGCAAGTTCGTGCAGCAAGAGCTGCAGCATTTGGATGTGGTGATCACAGACCTGGCAAGCACGGAGCAGACCCTGTGCTCTTTGAGCAGTGTTGATCACAGAGACAAATTGATGCGCGCAATCCAGGCCGTGTCCAGGCAGCTGTGTACATCTGACATCCTGGCAAACTTGGCAGAGACATTGAAAGCCAAAAGCCGCATTGACGAGCAGCAGGACCAGGAACATCTCAAGCGCGGGGAGAAGCAGGCGCTCGTATGGGTGGCAGAGGCTGAGAAGAATTGGCATAAGACCCGCTTGGACCATGCTATGGAGCATCGCGAGAGGACCAAGAGCAGCATGAGACAACCAGTTGTGCGTGTGTGTGTGTGTGTGTGTGTGTGTGTGTTTGTGTTTGTGTGTGTGTGTGTGTGTGTGTCTGTGTGTGTGTGTGTGTCTGTGTGTGTGTGTGTGTTTGAGAGTCTGCACGAGTGTGAGTTTGTGTTTAAGCAGCTCAGTGCCACCCTGAAAAGGTCGTTGTTCTGTGGTTGCTGTCGTTGAGAGCTGCAGGTAATCTCGATGCCAAGAGGAAAGAGTTGCAAGAGCTGCAAACTCGCGAGAGCGTTTCTCGGGAAGATCTTTTGCGTAGCCACAAAGAGTGCCAGAGGCAGCTGGATAAGCAAGTCAAGGAGCGACACCCTGTAGAGTGAGAAATCCGAGTCAACGTGTGAGTTGTCGCTCCGTTCCGCCGGCTTGCATCGAAAGGAGTTGCAGGAGCGGACAGAGAAGGAGCAGGCCAAGCTCCAGGAACCCATCGACCTGTGCCAGGACAAGACTGTCGAGCTGCAGAACCGACTCCTGTATCTCGGGAACTGTTAGAAAGCAGTTGTGTTGCAGCAGATCCGCCTTTAATTTGCTAAGGGTCCCCCGTCTCTGAGTGATTCCTTGAATTAAAGGAACCTGGGTTCTCACAACATCAACCACATCATCCTCGTGGTAGACAAGAGCGGGAGCATGTGCGGAACCCGCTGGAGATCGCTGCTTCGTGCCGTCGACGCTTTCCAAAAAGCTTGCGTCGCCAAGGGCTCACAGGACCGCCCGGCCTTTTTGGCTAGACCGCTTTTGCTACTATTAGTATTATGAGTATTATTGTTATTCTTGTTATTGTCATTATTATTAGTATTATTCTTATCATGATTCATAGCAAGACTGCCTGCGTGGGTATCTAGAACGTTAGCATGAAGTCTTTTGCAGGACAGAGTGTCAGTCATCACCTTCGATGTAGACGCGACAAGTCTGGTCACAGCAGCCCCGATCACATCCGATATTGTATCTCGCCCATGGTGTCCAAAGGAATGCTCAGCAACGTATGTACAGTATGATCCAGGGTTCCGGCCACACTTCGCATGCTGCAAGCATTCATGAGTTCAAGATCGGGGGCGTGTGCCACAGCCAAGGTTGGTAAGTTGGGGCGAGTGTCGCCGTCCTGGGGAACAGCATACAAACCTGCCTGGGAGAAGGTGCAGGCGCTGGTGCTCACGGGTCGTGAGTCTGCACATGAACGAAAGGAATGATGTAAGCGCCACAGGACACATGATAGAGACTTGTGCATGAAAGCTTTGGTGGCGAGGAGCATGCAGCCGGTGAGCCAAGCTTCGCTCGCATCTTCGTTGTCTTCCTCAGTGACGGTCTTACTAACAACGATGACTTGACCGCTGCCAGGGCAACCGCTGCAAAGATGCATGCTGATGCGGCTGCAGCAAACAGATCGATGTGTGCATTCTTTGTGCATGTGGACGACGCGCCATCTCCTCAGATCGAAGAACACCTTATGCCGCTCGTGAAGGCAGCCAATGGTGGGCAGAATCGCAAGGCCTTGGGAGAGAGTACGGTGGATCTGTTAACGCCGGTGGGCACCGCAGACCTGACGTCCCACTTTGCCCAGCTGGCGAGCTATGTAAACATGGAGAAGTGCCATGGTCAAGGCCTAGGAAAAGGAGCTGAGGTCTCGAAGAGAGCAGGAGACGAAGGCAAAGCCACAGCTTTATAAGGACCAGATGCAGGCCCTGACCAAGGCCAATAAGATTGCAGAGAAGAGCATGAAGAATGATCATGCCACATTGCAGAAACTCTTTGCAGACATGGTCGAAGAGTTGCAAGAAGAGGTCACAGAGCTTGCGACAGCATCGGGCAATGCGGAGGGAGCTGTGCTGCAGCTCGAGATCGAATACAAGAAGAGCCAGGCAAGTCACGCAGCGGCAGAGGCTGCCTTCTCTCAGGGCGAGGCAGCGTTCAAGCAGACCTGCGAGAGTCTGTGCAAGATGAGCCTGAACCAGGCGAAGGAGCTTGAGAAACTAAGCAATCAACACAGCCAGTTCCTGGAGCAGTTTGGCACCACGGACGCCACGCTCCTGTTCCGGCAGCTGCAGGGTTTGGAGCAGCTGACGAGGCAGCTGCAGAACAGCTCGGTGATCGAGCAGGACCCGGATGATGTGGAAGCCTTTTGTCCGAAGTTGTGCGGCGAAGCAACGGAGTTCAGTTCGATGCACCTTTGATTTCACCTTCAGGATTTGTGCTGCATGGTGCACAGCATGGTCACCTTCACCAACAGCTTGAAGGATCAGATCATGGATCCGCTTCCTGGAGGTCGGGTGGGTGATCCCCGTTGGCAGTGGCAGAGGTCTGCTTTCCTTGAGTCGGGTGCATAACTGTACAGGCACCGAAAAGATCACCAAGGCGAAGGCCAGGCACGTGGGAGCTCAGGGCTGCAGCTGCACTGTAATGTAGAGCTGGAAACATCCTGCAGGTTGTGCTGAAGAAGCTCTTGAAGCAGCGGCGCTTGGCGTACAAGGACAGATCTAGCCCCACGTCTCTCCCTGTCTCTCCCTCTCTCCCTCTCTTTCCCCCTCCTACGCGTGATGGCCGTGATGGCGCTAGCTCTCCAGACATAGCCTGTGTCGGCCGCACCTTCTAAGCAGCATTCCGGAAGATGCAAAACAACTAGCTTACTTAAACTAAGAAGCACTAAAAATCTCGTCTGTCTCTCCATGTGCTTGATTGAATGTAGTGTTGTGATATTGTGCAGTGCATCATCGTCTTGACACCGAGTCGGCGCCGCCATAAGGGGAGCAAAGCTCGCTAGGATCTGCCCGAAGAGGACATGCAGGCGCTGCTCCTTGATGCATGGAGACTGATGCCTTCAGTGGGGCCCGAGGGTACGTGGAAGCAGGCTCTGCCGATTTTTGTGCTTGGACATCTCGATCAGCATGGAATCCAAGGTTGAAGTATGAAGCTGAAGTGCAGCGGCTTGATCCAGAGGAAGATGATCCGATTTCGCATGTTGTGGCCATCCAGCAAGGGGAGGCTGTAGCGCCATACAATCTTAGCCTTGGCAAGCCCGGAGGACGTTTGCAAGCCCATCCTGTCTGCGGGCATTACCGCGGAACGTGCCCATGTGCAATGTTTTCTTGTCACACGCCATGGAGGAGGTGTGTTGGTCGCGATCCGCTCATCTTTCGGCGAAGAATGTGTTTCCAAGCTCTGCTAGGGCCTGCCAGATTGGTCGCAGGGTCGGTGGGGGGGGGCGGGCGAGACTCGAATGCAGGTATTTGTGAGGCCGTGGATGAGATGGACAACGAAAAGGTCATGGAACTGAAGAAGGCAGCTGGAGTGGCGAGTGCTTGTGCAGGTGCGTGATTTCTTTGGGCTGTTGCTGTGCTGTGCAGGACCTTGTTCTGCTCGTTCAGCAGAAGGCTTACGAGATGGATGAGTGCGACACGCAGGACTTTATTTGTAGAGGGCAACACCCAAGGTGAGGTTTTTCATTTTGGCCAGCAAGATAATGTCAGGTTCAAGCCCTTTGTGTAGAGTCGTAAAGCTCTCGTAATTCGAGCAGTGTTGACACTGTCCTCAGTCACCAAGCCTGTGCTTGCTGTTTCTGGATCTTTGTCTCTTGGATCAGTGTGTCAGATACGACTACTTCACCATATGGAGGACATCGAAGAGCAGCAGCGCATCAAGAAGAAAGAGCTTAAGAACAAGAAGGCCGTCAGTACAAAAGCCGGACGCCGGATATCTTTTTCAGATCTTTTGCTCGTCGTGTGTTGAGCACCTTTAGAGGCGCCATCTTCATTGTCTTCGGCCCCACATCTCAAGCAGCTTCACCCCACCTGCCAGGCAGAGCTCCTGAAGCAAGAGGCAGAGCTAAAGCAAGCCCAGAAAGCACCTTCCAAGAGCAACGTCAGCACAAGCCGCTCGGTCAGCAGAAAACCTCAGTACGGCAGAGTCGGCAGAGCGATCATGTAGAGCCATTGATTCAGCTGGGGCCCAGCCTGCCGACCCAAGTTCAGGTGATGAAGACAACGACTCCACTTGGGAAGTCGTCGACAGCGTCCAGGAGAAGGTAAATGACCTCAAGGATGAGATCAAGGACCCGTGCAGCCGTAACTCTGACTGTCTGCATTTTCCACCTCAGCTTGAGCCAGGCCTTCTGTTGACCAGCAAGGGAGACGCTTTGGCTACCAGCTTAATGTGCAAAGCCTGGCAGCTTTGAGGAGCTCGAGCATGACATCAAGGATCTCGAAGGAGAGAAGAACGGCTTCACGGCAGCCGAAGACGTGTTGGTGGCGGCTTCGGCAGTTGGGGTGCTGTCTTGGGGTTCGAGTCTGCAAGTCGGGCAAGACGTCCAGCACAAGTTGAGGAGGTTGTTTTGTTTTGGAAGGTTTCTCGACAACTCCTTTCCTCGATTGGCCACCCACTTGGTGGGGAAGTCCGGGTTTCCAAGCTCGAAATCAGAGCCTGACATGCGGCATGCTTGCAGTTCGACCTTCTGCCGAAACAGTATGCGTCTATACCCAGTTTTTCATTTCGCAGATGAAGTGAGTCTGCATTGCATCGACCCCAACCTATCCTCCTCCACGAATCCGAGAGCTGGTCCTAAAGTTTCCTGACACCCATCACTGCGGAAGCCCCGGTTTGAGGTTTCAAGAAGGCGCAGCAGGCCCGGTTGGTGGGGAGCCCGATCCCAAGTTTTGCAGGATTGAAGGCGCAGCCTTGGCTGCTTTACGATCTTCAGCCTGAAGAACTGGGAGCTCCTTCTAAAGAGCGAAGCTCCCCACCGGCAGCAACTTCAAAGAGTGCACCAATAACTGCAATGACTCACAGCGAGGGTCTTCCACACTCCGACCCAGAGCTTGCGTTACTCTGTATCAGTCGCAGCTGGGAATTGGGTTTGTATGGCACCTTGCCCCGACAGCGCGGTGTCCCCTTCCACCTCTTCAAACTTGAGGCACGAAGCTAAGTAACCTAAACCCTACACCCCTAAACCCCTAAACCCTAAACCCCAAACCCCCAAACTCCAAAACCCTAAAACCTAAACTGCTAAACACCTAAACCCTAAGCCCTGATCCTCCTTGACTTGGTGCAGCCCTGAAGACTGGCAGGCGACACAGAAGAGCTTGGAGCCTTGTACGCGCACGCTCTCGTACCTCGGTCGCAGTTCATGGCCTTAGGGGGCTGCACGCTGAGGAGGCTGATCTGGCTTGTAGCCTCACCTGCAGAGGATGGCAAAAGAGCCCGTCTCTGTGGTTGGAAGCTGTCTTATGGCCAGCCCGAAGTTTGGTGCTTTCAACCGACGGAGCGGAGGAACATCGGCTCGGTTCCGGAATTGAAGTGAAGCTCGGAGCGACTGCTTGCTGAGGCTCGCAGTGGAGATTTGCTGCACTACCTTCCGGGAGCAGGTCGCTGAAGAGGACAGCTGGCTTTTCTTGTGCTCCCTACATCCTAAATCCTACATGTCTAGGCCCTACAACGCTGAGCCGCGCTCACTTCGTGGCATCAAGCAGAAGCTAGCTACTTTCTTGTGAGGAGAAAGCCGCTCTGCGAAGCACCTTCGAGTCCTTTCGACGCTTTGACTCCGATTTGGGCGTGAGACAGGTCGTCACAAGAGTCCGACTCAACGCAGGGACCGGTCTTGCAGATGCCCTCTCAATCTTCACTGGCCGATTGTTTTTGTGGTGGGGCTGTATCTTGAAGATGGATTGTTCCCCTCAAAGGTAAGGTGGGGCTTGTTAGGACTGTTAGGGACTGAAAACGGACATGAGCATAAGCCTTTTTTATAGGGGATATCCCTACCTTATTGGGCTTCATTATACAGGGGGTGTATATCTGATATCTGTATCCTAGTTTTGGCTCATGTGCTCTTTTTTGGGGCCCTAGCTTGCTTCGTTGCTGGAGCCTAGAAGTTCTACAGGAACCAATATCTCCAAGCCCATGAGAACCTTCGTGAGCATGACGGAGCAAGCCAAGAGCAACCCGAATGCACCGAGAGGCAAATGCATGCCCAGGCAGCTCGCTTCATAAGGGGCTTAAGGTCTGAGGTTTGGGGTTTAAAGTTAAGGGTGTGTAGGGAGTTCCTAAGAAACGTTGCGAGCCGGCCTGGTATAAATTTGGCTTACATTGCCAGCCAGTGGAGATTGTGTTTCTAGCTGGTGTGCAGAGGGCACCAGACAAGGCACGACAGTGGTGACACGCAGCGTAGCAATCTTTGCTCATCCTTCCACAGGACACCAGACTCGTTCATGTTGTGAGCGCCCAGCACACCCTCAGTCCAGGTACGTTCACGGACCGCTCCTCGATGCAGCCGCCCACTCTCCTGGGCGCACGTGGCGGAAAGCGCATGGCTTTAGAAGATGCCGAGTGAAGAGCCACTGCTGCAGGGCAGCGGAGCCAGAGGCAAATGGCTCGCACGAGAGGCCCTGTGTCCCCGATAGGTTGTATGAGTAAGCGAGGGCCTGGGCCTGGGTGGACAGGAGGATCTCATGAGTTGCAGAACATGAAACGACGGAACTTACACTGCCTGGGGGTCCTTGCAACAAACCGACCAAAAGGGATCCACCGTGCTGGCTCCCACGATAGTCGAGACCTGAGGTTCAGATTTGACCCCTGCACTGCCTTCATTGAAGCATGCTTACCTCCGGTTTCCTCTCTTCGTCATCGCACGCAAGCTCCATATGCTAAGATCATTTCAGCGGGAAGCATGGGGATCCTGCTTATTGAGGTTATGAAGCGGTAGAGTGTTTGCCGCCAGCAGCATCACCCCTGGCACTCTTTGTGCCGGCTTGAAGGTTTGTGTGCAGAGACCCAGGACCCGAAGATGATCAGCAAACGAGTTTAGCCGATAGTACAAGCTGGGACCCTTTGATCCCTAGTTGTTTGTTGCTGGGTGGTATAAGTAGCACCTGTTTGGTGACAGCGATCAACATGCGCAGCCAGGGCTTTATCCTGCAGCTACAGACTCAAGCAGGTACGGTACAGCTGTCCCAGCAGAGGTTTACAACATCATCTATACCCCTTTGGCCCTCAATGAGCATTGCTGCCTTTTTGCTCGTGGGTCGGGTCGATGCCACACGCCTTGCAATCGGCCGCAGACATTGAGCGGCCTGTGATGCTGCGCCGTTCCGTTTTTGAGCTTGCACAAGTTGCTTTAAAGGTTTGTGCCAGCCGGGTCAGGAGCAAGACGCCATTCAGCTTGTTGCACCTCCATCTGGGCCTCAAAGGCCCATGTAGATTGTCGTCGAAATATCAGCTTCTCGTCCGCGACATTGCTTGAAAGCAAGTTGAAGGTGGTGGCATCTTATCTTCCGACCGTGCAAGGCTTGCGAGAGGCTTGTAGCCTTCTTGCACCCTCCTGTTCTTTACGACTTGCTGGAAGCACGCTTCCAATGGTTGAAGCTTCCTTGGAATGCAACTCGTGACTTGTAACTAGTGTTTACTAGTTGCTTGAGAACATTGGGGCCCGTTGAGTTGAGAGGTTGCATCCAGGAAGTTGGTCATGATGTTTGCACAGGGCGTTGGTGTTACTGAGCCTGTGTGACAGGCATCAGGTTCCCTGATGCGTCAGCAGTTCACAGCACTCTATTGTGCAGTCCTGATGCAGTAGCTTCGGCAGTGTCGGCGGTGAATCAACCAGCCATCCCCCGGCGGCTGTCGCAGAAGCCAAATGAGTTAACGTTCCAAAAGTGTTCCAAAGATCATGTCACAGCAAGGCGTGGCGAAGGCGGCATGTGTTTGCCGTCCGAAGCCTGACATTTGACCCTCCCTGTGTCAAGTTGAAGGCTGGCGGCACGGAAAAGCATCGCTTATAGTTTAATCAAGCACCAGACATTTCGCTAGGACTGCGCCTTCATACAGCTATGTGCGAGATTGCTGGCCACCTCAACGACTCTCAGGAGGAAATGCTAGCCTTGCAAGCTACCACCGGCATTTCTGATTTGTAGACACGCGGAAGAAAAAGCAAGTGAGGCAAGTCTTGGCAGCCGGCTGCAGCTTCAGAGATGTGTTGTTTGTAGGACTCCCGCATAGTCCGGGCGCTGTGCCAGCCCGCCTCGAACCTTTTGCCCGTAGACTTTGCGGATCCCGCGACCACGGTCGGCTGTCTGAGTGCCGGGGGCTCGGGTGATACACTGACGGTCTCGTCTCCGACGTTGCCAGTGCGATGACGACCGCCCGTTCCTTCAGCTTTTGGCCTCCTTAAGAAGATCTCTGAGCTAGAAGTCGAGCGGGAGGGAAGTTGAAGGAGTTGGCGCTTTGCAGCTTTTCGTCCTCTCAGGTGAGCTGCCGGCCAGAAGGCTGACAGCGTGGCCCGAGGCTCCTCCTGGCGGTCCTTTGTCTGCAGCGGGCTGCAAGAGATGGGGGAAAAGACTTGCATTGCGCATTTGGGCACAGACTCTACAGCTGTGGCTTGGCACAAGTCATGTGCCTCCAAGCCAACGCCAAGGCTCCCAGACCTCAGAGCCGGCGCGGCAAGGCAAAGCCTGCAGTTGCATTCTGCCAACTTTGCGGGCTTGGACGTAAGACTCCGAGGTTTCAGCGTGTTTCTACTCGCGAATGCTGCACTGGCCGGGTGCATGCCTGACCTTGCAGGCTATTGGAAGAGCTGTTGCGACGTCTTTACGCTTAGAGACTACCGTGAGCCCATCTCTTAAGAATGAGAGCAGATGCCAACACTTGCGTCATGTGCTCTTGGTCCTAGTCGGTGATATCGAGCATTTGCTGTTGCGACTCATTTCCGCAAGCATTTCTGGACTCCATCGTGAAGTCTTCCTCACCTACAGCCTTCACGTCCTCAAAACCTCACCGCCTGACCAGTCGCTTGGGGCAAGCTGGTCATGATTTACTGCACACGTTCCGGACAGGCCAGCGTCTATGAGCTTGCGTGTGAGCGCAACGAACTCGACCGTCTGCACTGCAAGAAACAGAGCTCATGCACAGCATTAAATTGCAGTGTGATGGGTGCTAAACCCAGTTTTTTTTTGCAAGAGCTTGCTAGGCAAATTGTTTGTGCCCCCAGGCTCTGCAAAGATAGCGACCAGGTAGAGTCGAGCTTGGCCCAAGGCGATGGACCAGGCAGAATTGTTGCAGGCAATGCTGCAGGAGATGTACCCTAACGACGGGCCCATGGTTGAACATGTCCTCAGTGCATTGCACTCGGAGCCCAAGTACCGAGAGAGCCTGTTGAAGCTCAAGTCGCCTCTGGCGATTCGAGCATTCCTGAACAAACTGGCGGGCACACGGCCGCAATCCTCGAAAGGCATGCAGGATGCTATTCATACTCCGTCACAGGGGCTACTTCCATCTCTACCTTCGCAGAGTTCGGACGAACAAGTGGAAGACATGCGGCGGCAGTACCAGCAGTACATTGGCACAGAGATTGTGGAATCGGAGTCCCGCTGGACCTTGATTCACGACCTTCCGCCTGATGCAGGAAGGGTGTCCCAATGCCTGGGTACTTCAGGATTCTTCACAGGTCAACAGTCCCAGCAAGCTGCAGCTGCTGCATCGGCCCCAGCAGGACATATGAAGAGTGCTTTGGACAGCATTCAGATTGACAAAATACTGGCTCCCCCTGAAGCCGCAAAGCCGGTGCGCTCGGCACCCACCAGCACGTGCCTGATGCGAGCTGGAACAGTCTTGACAGTTGGAGTTCTCGGGTATGAGCTCTGTGGTCACGTCCGCCAGTATTGGAACAACCAGGTTGATCGCTATGAACTTACAGACAGGCTGGTCTCCAGCCTGGTTTCAGCAGCGGCGACTGCTGCCGGGGCATTTGGGGGGGCCAGCCTCCTTTCAGGGGCCGATCCATGGGGGGTTGCCTTCGGTGCTACGGCAGGTGCTTGGCTTGCTTCAGAGCTCGCCAAGACAGCGATGCGCAAGGTGTTCATGGAAGTGTTCGGGGACAGCAGAGAGCGTGCCCTCCGAGATGCCTTTGCAGTACTTGGGCTCAGGCCGACGGCGCACGCGAAGCAGATCCGTCAGCAGTACTTGCGCCTCGCCACTGAGAGTCATCCAGAGAAAAAATTAGGCTCCCATTTCCGCTATGTGCGAGTGAACAGCTCCTTCGAGCTGATAAGGGCGTCGAAGTTTTGAAGCACGCCGGAGCGTGTACAGGCTGCTGACCGTCAGTCGGCAGTCATCTTCCCCCACATCCCCGGAGGGCGTAGCAGTCTCCCTGTGTGACGAGATGACTTCTGGACCACAAGTGTCTGCCATCTGAGATGTCCTGGTCATCCATGGCGAGCAAACAGTTCTGAGCTGTGACAGAAGTTTTCTTGACTGAAATTTTGAAAAGCCTCGGAGCAGTTCTGTGAACATGCCGCCTCGTCAAGCATTTTGGCTTTCGAGGTAAGCTTTCTCGTGGCTTTAGCCTTGGGTAGTCACAGCTCTGCCCAGCATGGATGCGGATGAGGTTCGCAACAGCGTGGACTTTGTGCTGCAGTCTCTCTATGCGGAGAAGCCTGAGAAGTTCGGAGAAGTAATGTTCTTGCTGTGCACCATGGATGAGCACTATTCGTACCTCGCCAAGCTCACATCAATCCCCAAGGCCATGGATACATATCTTGAGAAGCTGATTCTCCAGAGCCCTATGCCATCGCCTGGGACTGCTGGTATCCCTTCGAGTGTTGACGAAGCAGAGCTGATGCTGAACGATTGTCGTGACAGATTTGGCACCAATGTCGTTCGGCTGGAAAAGGCGGGCATCATAAGCCGTTCCATTCTGGACGGCTTATCAAGGAGCCATGCAGGCATGGCAGTGGGCTGCGCAGAGGCTGCCGCACAGTTTGCAGGAATGACGTCTCATTCGCTGCAGCGCGCTTTCGTCATGACTGCAGTCTCCAGAGTTGCAGAAGTTGTGCCGATGGACCAAGGGAATGTCTTCCAAGCCATCTTCATGAAGCGGCTCGCCAACGCTACAGCCGTGGAGTCTGAATTGGCTCAGCAGCTTGCAAAGAGGTACGGTGACTTCGGAGCCTGTTGCAAGTGGGCAGGCGCGGCTGGCGCCATCCTCCAGGTCGGGCTGCTTGGCTACGAGCTCTATGCAGACATCCGAAAGTACTGGAAGGGCGAAATCGACGGCTACCAGTGTGCCGAGAACCTGAGCAGCTCCTTTGCCTCAGCCGCAGCTGCTGCTGGAGGTGGTCTCGCGGCGGTAACACTATGCGCTGGAGCCGCTCCTTGCGGCTTAATTTTCGCTTCTTTGGCGGCAGCGTGTGTGGCATCTGGGCTCACATCCTTCGCAGTCCGTGCATGCTTCCAACGCTGCTTCGACAATGACCGGGACCGAGCATTGAAAAGGGCCTACGAGGTCTTGGGCATCACCAGGGGTGCTGCTCCAGATGTGGTGAGGCAGGCTTATCTGACCAAGGCCAAGGAGACGCATCCAGACAAGGGTGGGAATGAGCAGCTGTTCATTGAGCTGAATAGCAGCTACGAGCTGATAAGGGCGTCGAAATTTTGAAGCACGCCGGAGCGTGTACAGGCTGCTGACCGTCAGTCGGCAGTCATCTTCCCCCACATCACCGGAGCACGTAGCAGTCTCCCTGTGTGATTCCGGTACCGAGATGACTTCTGGACCACAAGTGTCTGCCCTCATGCAGTAGCTGAAGGTCTAACTTCTCGTAGATCAGATGAAAGGCAGGACCGTCGCGCCTTCTCCGAACTTATGCATGAAAATAGTGCAGAGTGTAGACATCCCCGTGTCTACATGCTGTGACATCCGCATGGCATTGTGGCTCCTCAGCTCCTGAACCACTCCGATACACATGTCGGACTTAAGAGTCTCGTGTGGGCGCCCTGTTTGCAACAGGATCCGTTTGATGTCCGTACACTGTCTAGCAACGTCGCATGTGCTAAAGTTCCGAAGAATTTTGTTTCTGCTTTGATTGTCTGGGTTCAGCTGCGCCGAGCAGCATGAAATCCATCTGGGCACTCGACTCACTCCTCACGGACCTCCTCAAAGATCTGCTTCGACAAGGTGCGGCTTGGTTTGCCGTATGTTAGAGGAACGTCTGCCATGGCAGACACTTCACTGCTGTAGAATACGAGGTTGTATCACCGGCTAGTAACTCAGCATACGAGGCTCCTTGCAAGCGTGGTGTGTGAGAGATAGCAGAGAAGACTGCCCGGACGGATATTCAGCGGCGCAACTCGTTTCGTCGTCAGCTGCTCTGCCAGACGAAGAGATTCAGAAGACATCACAAGACACTCCCCAAGCCCTCCAACATCACAACCAAGGTTGCCTCCAAGAGCTCGCAACGGATCCATCAAGGACCAGGCGGTGTTTAGAATCTGCCTCCAGGCTCCTGCCCGACCCCTTTTTTAGGGTACCTACTTTTCTATCATAACAGATCCGAGCCATAAAACTAGGTACCCGAAGTAGGGGGGTAGGGTATGACCCTATAGGTAGAGTGCAGAGTTTGAATCTGTCTCTTGCACTTCCTCATGTCTTTGATCCGACCCTTTGCTGCAACGCATTGTCTTTGACAGGCTCGCAGGTCAGAGACAAGGGCTGTAGTGTAACACTCTGTCCCGATGGCACCAGAGTTTGTGCGCTACAACTGCGATCATGAGATCATAGATGTGGACGAGTTTCAAGTTGCCCGGGCCATCTTCCGGGGGGAGACGCAGGCTCTTAGCCAGGAGGTGTTCGACCTATGCGTCACTTTCGGGCACCACAGCACTGCGGCCGCCTTGGCGAAGCATGGGGCCTGCAGCTTGGAGGCCTGGCACCTGGGACCTTTTGCTAGATGGAAGGTGCGGCAGAAGCGTACACGTGTTATTTGCGGGTGCGTCGGAAGCATCCGCAGTACCGAAACTTGTGACTTTTGTTGCTGGGGCTCGGAGACCGAACGTGGTGAGTGGATGCTTGACTGGGATGCCGAGCTCGGTGAAGCTGTGGCTTCTGCTCGCGAGGCAGCGGAGCGTCCCGTGACCCGCTTAGTGCTCGCCATGCTGCGCTCTGGCGAGGAATTCGACAACCTTCATATCTCAGAGTCTGCCATGGCCCGTCTGCTGGATATTGCCGTTCTTACTGGCGACTCGGACTTGGCACAGCGCTGCGCGGCACAGTGTGTGCGGCGGCCTCTGAGGCGATGGCGGTCGGAGGATTTCTTTGTACAGCCGCGCACTGAACTTATCGCTGTTGCTTCACCAGACGTTTTCATGGCCGCCATCCTCGCAGGCATTGCCCTACAGGGGCTGCTGGTTGGAGTACCCAGCTTATTTGGCTTGTTCTGCCCTGGTGTCATTCCATTGCGCGGAGCCGTCGCAATGTGCGGTGACCTGCAGCTTTGGCGAACTTTGGCCCCACTCTTGCCAGAAAGCCAGCACCCCTGGAGCCCGAGTCCGGGTAAGCCGGAGTCGGGCCTGCTCCTATGCAGACAGTCAGCCCACTACCGTTCGTGGGAGCTGTGCGTGAACCGACTCCGAACTGCCTTGTTAGCGAACATTGATTTGAAACGCTTCGGATTTTATGACGGGTATGCATACGCATGGAGGCATTGCTGTCCTGCATGTGCGGCAAGGGTTGGATTCCTAGATGGACTTAACGTCGGTGATGATCGACGCCGTCTGCTTGATGTGGCTGTTTGCAAGGGGCAGTCGGAGTGCGCTGAGTTGCTCGCTTCCCGGGAGGCTTCTGCTTCTTGCTGGCTGCGTGAACTGTGCCTGCCGGACATGCTGTGTGCAGAGTGCGGGGACGTGACAGTACCCGGGGTGGCACACGCGCCTTTGGAGCAGCGCCGCGCAACTGCCGGGGCGGCACTTCGTGCTGCCCTCACTCGCAGCAGAAAGCTTGTGGCTCCGATGGGGTTTGTCGTCTACCAAGCCATGCTACGATGGGGCTGTGGCAAGAAAGTACCGCCACCACTGGTGAACCATGTCCTGAGCTTCGCTGCAAAGAGGCCCACCATCGCCAAGCTGCTGGAGGGGCTTGAGGACGAGTTATTGCACGCAGCGGATTCGGCAGCAGGCTCCGAAGTTCAGGAGCAGAGTCGGCAACCGGAGATCAGCCCAACAATGGAGGAAGGCCCAGAGTTGCAGTCGGTGCAACCGGCTGGTTCTGAAGTTGAGGAGCCGAGCCAGCAACCAGAGATAAGTGCTACCACACCCGACATGGGCGAGCAGGCAGAGCCTGTGGCAGAAAAGTCGGAGGAAGGCCCAGACGCGAAGTCCACCGACGACGTGCTGGTTGCCCTGCGCAATTCCAAGGCTCAGGCCCAGGAAGTGCCTCTGAGCTCAGATGGCGTGATGCACTTCCGGCTTACTCGGAAGGCGCACGCTCCCCATGTGAACGAGCTGCTGTTGGACCCGACGGGACCCTTGGCTGTTCTTCACCGGCGGGTTTTGGAGGCTGGCTGCGAGGTGGCGCCGGACTGGTCGCCCGTGAAGGCTTTGTTCGTGCCGTGCACCGTGGCCCAGATGCAAGAGCTCTTGGCATCTGCCGAAGAGGGCTCCTTGGCTGGATCAACTGCTCCCTCAGCACACGAATTGTAGACGGACCCCTGTCCCTGTAGCTTTGTCTTTCGTTGAACAGGCGGCGTTCACCCTCCGGAGCTCGGCAAGGAGCACATCCTGGCCCTTCGAAGCGATTTTCCCGTGCTGGATCGTGCCATCCGCAGCATCAGCAAGAAGTACCGTCCCAGACTCCGCCCCACGCTCCGAGAGGAGCCACAGAGCGAGTCGGATGACGAGCCCTTCATTGTGGCAGAAGGCGGGCTGCGCACGGACTCGAGCCTCGGCTTCCCGTCCTACGATCCCTGAGCTGATCCGTCCTTGTTCAGCGTGGATGGCACGGGCTGCCGATTCATGCGTTGGGCTGCTTGATGTTTACGAGTCGACGGCATGCAACAAGTAAGGCATGCCTTTGAGTAGGCAGATCATAGAGGTTAGGCCCGATTGTTGAGGCTAAGTGAAGTGCCATCCCAGCGGAATGCAGCGATGCACCTTGTCTCTGCTTGCTTTACGGCCAGGGTCTTGTTAGCCTTGGAGTTTGACAAGCGATGGCAGGGTTGCATTTGTGTAGAAGTGCCTTTATCTGAGTTGCCCTTACGGTTTTGCATCTGTACAGCCCGACATTCGGCTTCAGCAACTCTTTGCAAGCTTTCTAACCCTGCTCAGCATCGAAACTTGCTCGTCAGCTCGGCTGAGTTGCTGATGCCCACGCCGGTTCCCGTCATATCATCTGCCTAAGTCTCTGTACATCTGGGGCCAAGTGCCAGGGTCCTGTTAGCCTTGGCACAACGGTCATCGGAACTACGGAGCCTGCGACCTGCAGATGTCAAAAAGCCCATGCGAGTGCGCGAGTCCATGCTGCCTGTACTTACAGAACTCAACTGATTTCCGTGAAAGGCTCTGACTTGCATTCGAAGCCATAGCCCTTACTGCCCTGTAGTAGCTGTGAAGCCACAAGCGTTATTGTGGTGTGTAGTTGGTCGTCGCTGTTCGGAAGGCATCTTCGCAGAACGGCCAGCCCTGCGCGCCGAACAAGCACGCTGTTGATGCCAAGAAAAAGGGAGCATTCTGTGAAGACTGTGGTTCCAAAGGTTGCGACTCGGCAGGTGGGGTGTGTCCTCGACAAACCAACCCACACAGGCCTGAAGGCAGTAGATAAGCAGATACATGCATCGCACTTCTGCCACTTGTCTTGTTTCTGGCTCGGGGATATTGAAGCCCGGTAGTTCGACTACCCGACACCCTGAGCCTCAAGCAAAACATCGTACCTTGAACCCAGAGCTCAGACTAGGAACGGTGCAGCCCCAGCACCCCAGCAACAATACTTTTTGCCATCTGCAAGCGGCTGTCGTGGAATCCGCCGAAGCACGCAATGGAGCTGAACCTTGGCCGGAAGGATCCCGATTTGAGCTGAGGATCGGACTGGGCCTGCCGGATTCCGGTTCAGGGTTCAGTGTAGGTTCTGTGGTTGAGGGCTTTGGGGCTGAGGATTGAGGGAGGAGCTCATGTACCTGCGAAGCAGCCTGCTTCGAAACCCGAGTCTTCTCATGTAGACGGGACAGGTTTCGCACGGCATGTGATGCGTGGCTGCTTGCTGTCATTCCTTGTCACGCTTATCCATTCCCCACATGTATCTCGAAAGTGGATTATTGAGTGGCTCTGGGGAAGTTTCCGCCTCCCATCCAGAGTATGCAGAGTATGGTCGTTGTTGCTCTTTCTGGCATTCGCATTCTTTTCTGTCGTTGCGACTGTCATCATGAGTTGTCGGCCTGGCCAGAAACATAAGGCCTGTCCCCAAATGCCAAGCTATTGCAGGAAGGCCCTCAGAAGCCCTAGGCCCTAAACATCGAGCCTTCTACCGCATGTTAAGGAAAGTCACCGCCAAGAAGGGCACTGGATTCTACATCCGTGCGGCAGCGACCTTTTTGAGGGGCACGGAGGACAAGCCTCCAGTGCCGTCCATCGTTCTCAGTGGTGCCTTGGCTCTGGGCCATCCTTTAAAAGTGCGAGATCCACCACCACGACAAACAGAATGCGTTTTTCGTGTGAGTAGTTGCATAGTTGCACGCACATGGAGATTTACTTCGTGAGATCAGCAGGGTCAGAAGTACTCGAAACCGAACCCTGTCATAAGCTGTCGTGCCTTGAGGCCTTCACACTGCATCCCGAAATCTGCATGTCCGCCAAACAGCCACCCAAACTCTCGAATACAAATGTCGATCCAGCGGAAGCTCAATGTCCCCAACCCAATAGAGCCCTTGTGGATCCTCGTAAAGCCCTACAAGGGAAGCCTGATAGTGTCGTTACAGATACCGCGCTGGTATCCGGAATCCATCGGAAGCCAGAGAAGTCAGGTACCGGATCTGCTGCCTCCGTCGTGGCCGATGTGGCCCACGCCATCGAGAAGCAGGGTCTGGCTAAGATCACCCATCTGGAGACTTCCTTCCCGGAGGCATAGGGGCGATCTAGTGTAGGATCGTACAGGGGTTACATACGGTTTCATACGCCTTTGATGAGGGCTGTATAGAGAGCTTTGATAGAGTTTTGGGGTTTTTGTAACTGGACTCTCAATGCACCCCTGTTTCCAGGTCGCCAGCCGTGGGGTTCCCCGGCTTGCAGCCACTCTGACAGCCCCCTGGCCTCACCCGGATCCCAGCAGCTACAGCAACTTAGCCAGCATGGAGTAGAGAGAATGAGAGAGAAGAGCTAAACTAGACTTCCGGTGCGCAGCGCATGTCTGCAGCGCATGCCGCGTGCAACGCTGCTTGTTGTGAGAATATGTCCGCAAAGATCAGGTAACTTCGACGAGGTGGTGGTAGAGAGCTACGACTTGGATCAAGAGAGTCTCGGCCGCCTTTCGCTTGGTTTAAAGCCGTTGGCAGAGTCCTCCCCCTGAGGAAGCTCGCGATCACGAAATCTAGTTCCTTTAGACGCAAACAAGGATCGACTTTGACAAGGGGGTGCTTACCGGGTCCATCGTGCTGCACCTTTCCGGTGTCAAGGAGTTGAGCACGTCAGTGGCTGGGCAGCCATAATCAGTTCAACCTAGGCGAAGGATATTGAACTGACATCGCTGTCGTCATGTCAATTCATCAAGAACAACAACAAGGATGCAGTTAGGCCCATAGGTTGCTGGCTTGAAAAGGCGACACTCCAAGATGTGGGCTTAGCAGTAGATCCTGGCGAAGGGGGTACAGTTCAAACACAAAAACCTTCCCTTAATTGCTCTCAGGTGGTGCTCGACACCCGGGGCCTCGACGTGACTGGCGCCTTCTGCGGTAGCGAGGCGCTCCAGTTCGCGGTCGGAAGCCGCGGTGCGGGCCCCTACTTGCTCCCGTTTTCGGGTTGAGAGTTGAGGGATCAGGGTTTAGAAGAGCGATGGGGAAACCAGGAAGAAGCAAGCCTTTCCGATGCTGATGATCTTCGGTATAGGGCGGCGACTTCTGCTCCTTCACCCCAGATTTCTCATGCGGCCAAGGTCGCAAGTCCGAGGCTCTTGGCGAAGCGCTAGAGATCCAGCTTCCGAAGCCACTGGCCGCCAAGGAACGAGCCGAGGGTGGCGACTGTAGCTCGAAGAAGAAGAAGAAGAGAAGTTAAGAAGTTAAAGGCTTGAGAGTTTGGGTCTAGGGTTTCGGGCAGTTTAGGCTCAAGAGGTCAGGGATTGGTCAGGGTGCAAGGGTTGAATGCTTCCCATGTTTCCTGGCACCAATCTTCATTGGAGTGGCTGCTGGGTGGTGACAGAGGGCTTATAGGTACATTCCGAATGCCCTACAGAACTCGACGGGGGCCACTCCCGTCAGATCCTGAACATCCCTAGACCCTAAACCCAACTCAAAGCCCTAACCTACAAACCCCAAATCCCAAACCGTAAGCACCCTAAGAGTTTGGACAGTGGTGGGAAGTCGCTCCAGCAGGAGAAGACCTCGGTTCGCGTGGACTATTCCACTGCCCCAGATCCTCGGCATTTCCGTGGAGCTTGGGTTCCTCCACAAAGGCGTAACATAAAGTTTTACTGCCTTTTTGAGGGAGTTTAGGTCTGGTTTATTGCTCATGGATGGACAAAGTTAACTCGTCTGATAGTTTTCAACCTAGGCTTGCAAGGTTTGGGATTTGGAGTTGAAGGTCTGGTGCACACTTCCAAATCCCCCATCCACCACTCAGCTCTTCGAGCTTCATTTCCGGAAATCCCCAAACACTGCGTCCCCAAATCCTAAACCCCCAAAACCCTAAACCCTAAACCGTGCATAGGGTGGAAAAGGGCTTTAAACAAAAATCCTAAGCCGTGGGCCTTAAGGTCCTGAGGCCCAAAATCGGGAACTCTGCGCCTGATCCCGAAGACCCCAAGTCCAAGGATGCGGTGGCCGTGCAGATCCTGGCTCCGGAGCAGACGCTGGGGAAGAAGCACCCCTACCTCTTCACGCAGTGCCAGGCCAGGCAGGAGGAGATGGGGATTGATAGGGCTTAAGGATGCTTAAGGGCTGAGAGGTTCAGGATTCATTCAAAACCCTAAACTCTAAACCCTAATGTCAGGTTACTCTGTTGTGCTGTGGTTTCGTTCTCGGTTGGGGGATCAGGCCGGTATTGAGCACAGCCCCTCAGCCCGCAGGGCCTTCCGACTAACCAACTGGGCAGGAGGAAAAGAGGGTTCAAAAAAAAAAACCCTAGACTCTAAGCCTGAACCCCAAACCCCAAACTCTCTAGCGTGTTCTTCGATCAATTCGCCGAGCTTACTGTGCTTGCCTGTCCAGGCGATCCACGCGCGCTGTCTGATGCCGTGCCAGGACACGCCTGGCGTGAAAAGCTCCTACAAGGCATCCTTTGCCCAACCCCTTTCAGGATTTAGGGGTTTAGTAGGGTTTAGGATCTAGCGGTTTTGGGATTTGGGCAACAGCCTTGCTTCTCTCAACCTAACCCTAAGAGGACAAGTATCTCTAGGCTTTTGGCTAGACCGACACCTCTCTGATATTGCCACGAGGTGGCCCCCCCCAGAAAGGAGGGCAGACCGGGGTTTCCACACCAAGATCCTGAGCGTCCTAAGCTCCTAAGCACCCAAACCCCCGAGGCCCAAACACCCGAGGCCCCAAAAGACAGTGTAGCCGTGAGGCGAAGATCACTGCGCCCTGTCCGCTCACTGTGCTGATGTCGGCCGTCGCGGATGGCGAGCCGGAGAGCGTGGACGGTGGGAAAAGGCGATTCTCTTTTACGCAGAGCCTCGGTGGGCAGGGCTCAGAGAAGTGAACTTAGAGCCTAGGGTGCAGCCTTGCAGCAACCCACATCTATGCAGACACATGCTATGCAGAAGGGCCCTGGCCAAATCCCTCATCCGCCTGAGCTGAAGGAAAGTGCCCATTCCCTCCTACCTTCTGGCCATCGCCTGCGGAAACCTGGTTAGCGAGAAGATCGGTGCGTGACTTGCCTGATCTTCGGACGTGCCGGAAGCCTTCAAGACCTGCGCCAGAGACCAGGGTTTCTGATAACAGACGGAGTTGATCACATCCAGCATAGAAGCGACGGTTCAGAGAACCGTCGAAGCGAGGCTCCGGGCTTCTAGTACCTGAGCCCCAAGCCCGAACCCTAAGCCTAAGCCCCAAATCCCGAGCCCCAAGCTCAAAGGGACCCTAGCCCGCAAAACCTTACTTACATGACCGAAGCCCTGATCCGTAACTCCTTCACCCTTGAACCCAGAATGTCAAGGCGAAGCCATGTCTGGAGCGAGCCGGAAGCCATTAAGGCGTGTGCCTTCGCCGCCCGACCTTCTGTGGAGATGACAATCATGAAGGCGATGGTGATGCTCATGATGGTGATGACCATGACGATGACGATATTGTTGTTGCTGTGACCGACGATTGCCACGCCTATCGCAGTGTTGCGGCTGCTGCTACTCTTGCTCCTGCCCCTGTTCCTACTCCAATCAGGTCCTCTTACGATCACTGCTTTGGGTAGTACTCCTTGTGACATCAGAGCTCATAACCGAAGCCTTAAGTTTGCAATCCAAAGAAGCTCAGGAGTTCTCTGACACAGACAAGTTCATGAGCATCGGTGAGAAGCTTTTCGGGGAGTATGTCTGGGGAGTCTACGATCTGCTCGTCCTTCCCCCGTCCTTCCCGTACGGTGGCATGGAGAATCCATGCCTTACGTTCGTAACGCCGACTCTACTGGCAGGGGACAAATCACTCGCAGATGTGGTGGCCCACGAGATCACGCACAGCTGGTTTGGGAACCTCTGCACCAACCGAAGCTGGGAATGCTTCTGGCTGAATGAGGGCTTCACAAAGTTTGGAGAGTGCCGAATTATGCAGAACATGAATGGCAAAGACTATGAGCAGCTGCTGCTGCGGAATCTGTGTATCAAGCTGAAAGAGGATGTATCTCACTTTGGTACTGGCCACGAGTTCACGAAACTGTGTGTGTCGGCAGCAATTATACTGGTCATCGGGGTTGTGCCAAGGCAGAAAGCCGCCAGGGCCGCAGCGATACAGGGCGATATAGAGTTTGCGGTTCTATGTTGATGTTTTCGTCAGTATTTTGACGTTTTGCAAGAACTCTTGCCGGAAGTGCTGTTCCTTGGCTGGTCTCAACTACGTGCTAGCAGTGCTGCTTGATGCATCGATCCTGCTGCGGTCCTCTTGCACCTGCACAAAGGACAAGTCACCATGTCCGGACCTCGCCACGAACGCTGGTGTTGTAGACCTGAGTGCCCTTTAGGTTCGATTGCAAACCTGGACTAGGTCCGGCAACGTCGCCAACCGTCATGGATCAAGTATGCTCCCAGCAAGAACCTCAACTCCAACGCCACAAAGGAGGTCCAACGAGATGGAACTCTGTGCACTCCCCTAAACCCTAAACCCTAAACCCTACACCCTACACCCTAAACCCTAAACCTTCTGGATTTTTTTCGGCTGAGGTCCGCGTCTTCCCGGCGTGGACCCGGACGATGCTTTCAGCGGCATCCCCTATGTGAGCCTGTGACTGATTTTGTGCTTTCCCTTTCTTTCAGACGGTGCAACAAGGGACTGCTTCAGGGGTTCAGGGCTTGTTGTGATGGCAGTTGTTCTTGAGGGAATGAACACTTGGCGGATCCTGTTATTCTGCATGATGCCGAAGTTACAGAAGCGAATCAGGTGATGTGAGCTGTCATCTAAGCCGCACATGGATTTTTCGCCTTTCGACATCTGAAGCTTCCCATACCTCCTGCTAGTAGAAGGATTCGGAGGATTCCTGGGTGTGGAGGTTTTTTGGAGGAGACTTTGACCAAACTCTTCGCTTGCAGTTGTCAGGAAGGGTCAGATGATGCTGCTGCACCTGGAAAGCCTCGTGGGGCAGGAGCTTCCTTGTTGAAGCGGTGCCGGATTCCTTTGGAGTTAGACTCAAGGTTACCGGTTGTTCATGAGTTGTTGAGTTGAACAGGTCCGATTGAACCGGGCAAATTCACCAGACACATACCTGATGCCATAGATGCTAACAGCCTAGGCCCGAAGCTCCAAGCCCCAAGAACCAGTGACCATGCTCCTGTTGAGCACTTCAGAGAGGTTTTGGGGCATACAGGGCTTTCTAGGGTTTCGGTTTTGGGTTTAGGTAGGGGTTTTCGGGTTTAGGCTTGAGGCTTGGAGGGGTTCAGGGTTGAGGGTCGTCAGACCCTGGGAAGGAGCGCTTCGAGGCGTACCTCCGAGCGCATGTGAAGCGCTTCACTGGCGGATGCCTCGACGAGAAGGACTGTTTAGGGTTTAGGATTTTCGGTTTCTTGTTCTTCTCTGATGCTGGGAGTGCTAGTGCTTGAGTGCTTCGGCTGGTACTCATACCGGAATCATACCGCTGAAACATTCACTTATATGGTTCACTTATCTATACTCGTGGTGTGCTGGTGAGGGTGTCCTGAGTGCTCATAGTTTTTGTGGGGTTGTTGCAAATCACAATTTTCCCCACATCCAGAGTGTACTCAGGCAATGTCCAGAACTGTTGATGTCGTTAGCGTCGTTTAGTGTTCAACATCAATAATATCACTGCCACCAACCAAGACGCCACGCAACATGGGAAGTTGTCTGACATGTGGCAGCTAACTCTTGGTAGCCGAATCAAGCCTTCTCGTTTCTTTAGTCATGGGTCATGAGGCCACTTTTTCTTTGATCTGTGGCGCCATTCAAACAGGTTTGGTCTTTGGACCCAGTGCAAGAATCTTTGGTCAAAAGGACTTCAAGAACTTCTTCTTGGAGCACTTTGCCGGCGAGCGGCTTGCATGTCAACAGATGCATCACGCACGAGAGTCTCCAGTCACGAGAGATGCTTGGAGCAGATCTGCAGCCGTTGCTTCCAAAGGTGAAGAGAGGACGGCAGTGAATAAGGCAAAAAAGAGAAAGATGCAGAAGAGGAAGCGGCACGTATATGAAAACCTTCTGCATGCCATATGGATATGAGGCCTGCCGTCAAGGATGTGGACTGGAACACCTGGTTCTATGGCAGTGGCCTACCTCCCATGCCGGAGGTTGACTCGCGCATGGCCAAGGAGGTCCGCCGCCGTTTCGAATTGTGATCTCCTTTGGGACTCGAGTTTGTACAAGCTGCCGCCAGTACTACAATTAATTTTCGATGCCTCTTGGGAATTGCAGGGAATGCCCTAAGTCGAAACTCACAGAAGTTGAGACCGGGGGCGACAATTCGAAGTCGTCTCAGAGACCTGCACCTTATAGATCCTGTCATTGTACTCTTATTCTTCGCACCAGTGTGCTGACTTTGCACATCAGTCTCACTGTTGTTGTTCCGTCATCGTCTTGTCCTCGTCCTCGGTGTCGTCGTGGTCGTCGTCATCGTCCTCGTTCCTCCTCCTCCTCATCCTCCTCCTCCTCCTCCTCCTCCTGCTCCTCCGCCTCCTGCTCTTCCTGCTCCTTCTCATTGTCATCAGCACCGTCGTCATTGAGCATTCATTAGTTTTGTTATCACCCATTGTCGCTAGTATTGCTGCGGTTCTAACTGTTGTTGTTAATTGCTAGCTTCCATCATTGACATGACGAAGCATGCTTGCAACAGGTGGACCTCCTTTGCGCCTCCTTGCTGGGCGGCTACGATGGGGCTGCAGAGGATATCAAAGGCCGGTGGAGCTTCGGGACAGACTTTAGGGTTTAGGGCATAGGGCTTAGGGCTTGGGGGTTTAGGGTTTTTCGGTTAGAGTCTGCGGTGTATCTTCCGGGATGCTCGGTTTAGGATTTGAGACGGAGCTGAGATGGGCCTCCCGCAGTCAACGACTTAAACCCCAAGCCAAAAAAATCCCAAACCGCAAGACGCAACACCCCAAAGCCCCAATGCCAAATCCCAAACCCCTAACTTTCAGCCCCAACCCCAACTCACAAACACAACACCACCAAACGCCTAACGCAGGCTGGTTTCCGGCTCAGACCGAGCCCCTTGGCTTAGTTGTGCAGGATTTCAATGGGATGTTCGCATGTTCATGTTCCTGACACGAAACGACTATATTAGCATTTTTCCTGGATTATTTTTGAGCTAGGTCAGTAGAACTAAATGCAGATGAAGCATAGCCGAGCCCATCGTAGTAGTCGCCGACCTGAGGGAATCGAGGCTGCGACAGAATTTAGGGCTTAGGGTTTTGGGGCTTGTGTTTAGGGTTGGGGTGCTTTTGCTAGGGGAAGGCGAACTCTGGAGTTGTAGGAGCGGTCTTCAGATCGTAGGATCAGCTGTTACTGCTGCAATTCCAAATCCGCAACCATGGGGCAATGGCGACATGAGGGTTGTTCCGAGCTGCACCGGCAACCAGCAAGGATTTACACAGGCTCGTAGACATACTGTTGATTGACAAAATCCTGCATTACCCTTTATAAGGAATATACCATAGTTCCCATAGGTTAGAGTCCTTAGGGTCATGCAGGATTTTGTCCATCAGCAGTACACCCTAGAAGGGAAAGCCACGCCCTGGAAACCCAAAGCGGCCCCAAACTTTCAACCCAAACCCTAGATACCAAATGCCCATGACCCAGCACTCCTTCATGACAGACTGAGGGCTTTCGAGCAGGATCAGGAAACTTGGGTTTAAGGTTGCAGGTTTCGGTGGGTTTAGGGTGGGTTTAGGGTTTATGGCTGCGGGTCTATGGTCTATTGCTTAGTTTTCACTGATTGGGTTTATGTGCCTGTTTTTTTTTTAAGGATTGAGAGTTTTAGGGATTACGGGTTCAGGGCTGTGGGGTCGGAGGAGACCGGGTCCCTAGCCGCTAGCCCTGAATTTCCAGAATCGGAAGATCCGGTGCCAGAAGAAGCCGAAGCTTCCGACTTCCTGGGAACCTACCTGTCAAAACCTGATGGGTTCTTTAGGCCCCTCAGCCCCATCCAGAAGATTCCGACAAATCATCCGGAATATTCTGGTGGGTTTCATGGAGCATCGTTACGGCTGGCGACTCCTGCGCTAATTTTTCAGGTCTTTACCTTGGGTTTTGAGTTTTGGTTCTCAGCTCTTTCTGTTGAGGGCTTTCGTGCTTGGCTTGGCTGCTTAAGGTTGCTGCTGGATCGCCTCATCGACCATGCACGGGGGCAAGCATCCAAGGAACAGCTGGAGGAGGCTGGGGTGTCCGGGACGTCGAGATAGCGTGTAGGGTGCAAGACTTGAAGCACAGATGTGGAGACAAAGGTGCTAACTCCTTGCCCCTGCGCCCCCAAAACGCAGTATCTGGGCCAACTCCGAGTGTCGGAGGTGAAAAGTCGTCTCGACCCGTGGAACGAGGCGTTCAAGTTCGTGCCGTGGCGCCAAAGTGAGGGAGTTTTAACCCCCTAAGCCGGTTAAACCCCTGTACCCTGAACTCCCCAAACCCTAAAACCCTCAAACCGAAACCCAAAATCCTGGTCCATGGCAGTACGAACTTAACATGGGGTCCCTTAATGATTAGAATGGGGTTTCGAACATATAGCTATTGAGATCCATGGGAGACACCTGCTGCCAAAGAGCCCAGAAGACCCTGGCAACCCAAGTGTAGGGATGTAGGCATTTCGAGAAGTGCACGAAGCCTAAACTTCTTACTGATGCTGAGCACGGGTCCTCAAGAGCAAGCCTTGAACCCGGAAAGCTGGAGAGCTCCAGCTATGTCCTTCCGATCCTCTTTGTTTCTTTTGTGTGACGAATCTAGGGGCAACGCACAAAGCTTCTTCGACTCGAAAGAAAACGAGCCCTTCCTCACACCCCACATAATTGCACACCCAAGCCCGAAATCCTGAATCCTAAAGAAAAGGATCAGAACGAAAAGGCGTTCACACCATAGAAAAACCTAAACCTCGAATTCCTGAAAAAGCTCCTTCACCACCTTAAGCCCTGAACGCTAACACCCCTAACTCCACTTAAACAACACTTCCAAGGACCAGACCAAGAATTCGGAGCTCCGCTTCCGGTGGTTGATGCTCGCCTTGGACGCTTTGCAGCAGTTCGGTGCAGCACCCTGGGAGAACTTGGAGTTGAGTTTAGCGTCTGGGTTTGGAGTGTAGCTTTCGGGCTGTTAGGCTTTTTAGGTTCCAAGTTTGCACTTTGTGGTTGTCGTCGTTGTGGTGCAGTGGTCCTGGCTATGGTCGTCGTGGTCTTCTTGGTCGTCGCGGTGCTTTTTTATATCACTTTTCGGTGACCTACGCTGGCACATTTCATAAAGGGTCTCCGTACAGAGATTGAATGCTCGGAAAAAGGGTATGCGCCGTTGGGTCTTAAGCCATACTGGTGCACCGATGCTTCGGGTTGCGGCAGTGTTGAGGTCTGCGGTGATGATTCGAGGGTGGACGCCGCGATTGCTATGGCCAAGGAGGCTGCAAGTTCGCGGAGTTAGGGTTAAGGCTTGGGGTTTGGGGTTGAGTTTTGGAGTTTCGGGGAGAGACTCTGAGAGGGGTTTTGGGTTCAAGGGGAGTTCTGGGCCATTGGGAATGACTGGGACCATGGGCTCAGATTTGCTCGGGAAACTCTCGGCCTGGATCCATGTAGCGAAACAACAGTGTTGAGTCGGCTTCGGAGTGTGCGGTTCTCCGGTTTGCGTTCAGGTGCTGGGTTCTTTTGGAATTATGTCTGTGTTTGCACTGAGTTGTTTAATCCGGCAGAGAGGAAGCGGCATGCACATTTTTGAGACCCATTAACCCTAAACCGTAAGCCCTACCTTAACCCCGAATAACTCACCTGTTTAAGGGACTTATATAAGGAAATCATAGCAAGGAACCCTTAACACGTAGGTTATTCAGGGTTAAGGCGGTTGAGGTAAACCCTAAACCGTCAAGACTGTCCGAGGTGGGCCGCATGAAGTTCACGCGGCCCTTGTACCGAGAGCTGTGCCCTCGCAGCACAGGAGAGCAGCAAGTTGAAACTCTTCGGCGCAGTTTGGATGGTTTTTCTCCAAACCTCAAACTGTAAGATCCAGTCCGATACGCATGCTACTTCTTTTTAGGGTTTTTTTGGTAAACCCTCCAAAGATACCCCCTTTTCCAGTCTCCCTGAATGTGGAAGTTCCAACCTGGGGTTCTCGCTTCAACTCTTTTGTTTCTTGTTTCTTTTCGTTCATCACAGTAAGTTCTTGCTAGTGCGAGTCCTTGTGCTTGCCCTGGTCTTCTCTGTTGTGCATGCAGTGTGCGATGTGGCTTGGGGTGGGCCTTGGGCTGCAGGATGTTTTCAATTGGGAGGCACTAGTTGTGGAGATCAGCTGCCACACCCATCAATAGGATCCTGGCGACGTCTGAAGAAATGCGCGCAGGTCCAAGTCCTGCCCAGTAAACCAAAACACTCTTGACCGTACATGCCTGAAGCACTAGCTTCAATGCCCTAGAGCTCTAAAGCAAAAGCCCCAAACGCCCTAACCCCTACAATCCTTAAACCCCATCAATTCCGAAACCCTATCAAATTCCGACACCCTACCAAATTCCGAAACCCTATCAAATTCCGACATGAAGCCGAGGGCAAAGAAGGCGGCACGCCGGGCCAAGGCCAAAGAAGCATTTGCTGAAGCCAGGGCCACCTACCATCCGCCGCTGGGCTGAGGATTCGGAGGCTTCTCTTTTTTGGGGGCTACAAGGCCACTACAAGGGATAAATAGTAGGGTTCTATCATGTAGGGACCTTGCATTTTGCTTCAGGATTCTGAGGGTTTTTGAGGGTTTTTGGTTAGGTGTGGGGTTACTGTAAGGGCTTCGAGAAGGGTGGCTTGGAGGATTTGGCAGGTTTAGGCCAGGGCCTAAGTTCAACGCTTTAGTATGCTGGGTTTCAGGAGCTTTCGGCGCCCAGATATCGGAAGCACAGTGTGGATGAACGTTCGCTGTTTGGGGGCTTCAGGCGGGTGTGGAGGCTGGTCTCTGAAGGCTGGACCGGTGCAAAGAGCCCAGAAGATTTGTCTCCCTAACCGCTGAAACGTATACCTTAAAGGCCAAGCCTCAAAGCCGAAGTCCCCTAAGGTGCAAACTCCAAAGCCTCAACCCTGAACCCTAAACCCCCAACCCCCAACCCCTAAAACATAGCCCCTGTACCCTAATGCCCCCTCAACGCGGATCTGCTGAGGATCACCGCGAAGATGGTGGCGCAAGACCTGGCCAAGGCGGATGCTCAGAGCTGAATGGAGACCTGGCGCAGGACGGCGGTTTAGGGTTGAGGGTTTTGGGTTTCGGTGTTTAGGGTTTGAGGTTTAGGATTCAGTGGGTTTAGGGTTCGAGGCTTGGGGAGTGGGTCTTGAGATGTCGGTACGTCTTTGGTGGCTTTTGACATTGATGTACATCTCCAGCTGAGCATTTTGGGCGCAACTGACCGTGAGTTTCGCCCCCAGCAAACTCCCAAATGTTGGTGCCTTGTTCTCTGTTGGGGTCGAACTCCGGAAGCCCGGAGCTTTATGTGGCGGCCGTCCGACATCCCTCACGGCCCGAGGATGGATGAGGGAAGGGGTATAGATCCGAGCCATGGACGAGGTTCGTCCTTGCAGGTGTTTCCTTGGGATCGGCATTGACGAGTACAAGGAGGACTCCCTTCAGAATGCAGTTCGATCTTCGCTCTGCGTAGGCGGAGCCTTTCAGAAGCTGGGGTATCACGCCACCCACGGCTCCAACATTCGAAGTCGGGTCGACTGGGACGGAAAGGTGAGCGAGCTGAGGGAGAATGTCGACTGCATGACCTCTGTCATTGCATTCTACTTCGCAGGGCATGGAGCTGTGACTAAGGACAAGACCTTGCGACTCTTGTTCGGGGATTCATCGCATGGCACCGTTAAGCAAAATCACCAGGGCAGCACGGCTTTAAATGATGATGTGAGCATCTCAATGGACGACTTGATCAAGCAGTTGATGCACCTGCCAATGGCCGATGATGCCTTCCTGCTCGTTCTCCTGGACAATTGTCGCACAGAGACCAGCACAAGTTGGCACGAGACCTGTGGCAGGTCACTTCAGCACAAGTTCAGCCGGAGCTTCACGGTAGTCTATGCCACGGCTCCTGGCAAGTGGGCTCTTGACGGCAACGGCTCGCAGATCAGCCCTTTGTCCTACAGCCTGCAGCGGCGAATGTCGGAATCGCAGCCGCTGGCTGCAACCTACAACCTCATTGTCAACGACGTGAAGTCTTACTCGAAGAATTTAATGAACATGAGCCAGTTAGTGCAGACCTTCACATGTGGAAAGTCTGATGAGGGGGTCTTTCAAGCAATTCCTGGCACGGGAGTGTCAATGTCTTCCAGCACCCTGTTGCCACTGTCAGATGAAGCCTCCGTGGATTCAACCGCCCTGCAGCCGACAAAATGCTGGTGCTGCAAAGTCTTGACGGTTTTCATCATGCTGATCCTTGCAATCTTTGTCGGTGTGTACCTCTCGATGTCAAGCCTTCAGCCTCGCGACTGCATCCTCAACGACTGGAGCGATGACGGTCCTTGTAGCAAATCCTGTGGTGGAGGGCGGCTGATCCAGCGACGGTCGGTGAAAACTTCCTCGGCTCACGGTGGGCGTTGTCGCAAGCTTAGTTTGCAGTTTGTGCATGAAGTCTGATCAAGAACTCATGCCTGATGCAGTGCACTGCGCGGCTTCAGGCATGACTATAGTAACTACAGCGCGCAGTTGTACACGGGCTCATCCTAGTTTTGATATACTTTCATCAACCATGCGGGCTTCAAAGCCAAAGCATCAGTAGGATGGCTGGACGCGACGTGCGGCACGCCAGAAGCTGCAGCCGTTGGATTGCGAAGCCCAGGTCCGGACCTCTCCAGTTCTGAGAGGCAGCGGGAAGTTCCATGTGCGGTCTTAGCATGCCCCTGGGATTGCTGCTTCTACGACTACTGCCCTGTCCAGTGTGACTTGCGGTGCAGCTCATGGACGTGCGAGGCCCTGGTAAACATGACGGTGTGTGACTTCGGCGTGGGGTTCTCCTCAATCACAGCAGATGCGACGATTGTAGGTCGGCCTGTTACTTGGACAGTTTTCAACTATGCCATTCATCGCTCTGGTATCAGCTTACATGATCATGGGTTTGACAAGACTTTCGTGCACCGCTTGAACTTGTCCTTTGAGTCTCCCTCGCGTGTGGCGTTTTGTCGGTGCCTGGGAGATTATGCAAGGTCCATCCTCAACAAAAGGATGAGGACCAATTGTGAAGACGTTAGTGAAGACAATTCGAGCCAGCCCATGCACTCCGTAAACGAGCTATTCCATGTGTAAGTGAAAGAACTTCCTTGTCAGTTCGCACAGACAGCAACATGAGTCAATCAGCAACGCGCTTGCACAATTGCTTCAGTTCGTCCATACATGCACAGCAACACCTTACGCCTGCGATGTTTATTGACCTTAGATCTGTTGCCAAATCTCCATCGTGATAGACTGAAGCCAGCTGTGCTGTGCACCGGGGCTTCCGACTTGACCGCGTTGGGCTTGCCGAGGCGGAAAGATGCTTTTTGCTATTGTCTGCACATTCCGATCCGTCGCAACAGGTCTGTTGTTCGCCTTCGACGTCGCAAGCAGTCCCTAAATCCCAAACCATGTAGCCCACCAGCAGGGGTCATTGAGTTGGGGCGTGAGGGACTGGCAAAGAGGAGGTACTCTGCATGCAGGCATCAAGACTCTCGTAGTGTTTGTATGTCTGGAAGTATCAGTACACCTCAGCCCCTTAAACCCCTCACCCACCAAACCGTAATCAAGCCCCGAAGTTCTGTACCTCAAGTTCTACATGCCCCAGACCCAAACCCCCCCAAACCCCTAAACCCTAAAGCCGTAAGAATCCGCTTGAAGCCTAAAGCCAAAGCAAAACAGCAGCCAAGCACAGAAAGCTAAACATCATTTCTCAGGGTTCTCTAGGATAAATATACAAAAACAAACTCCCAAAGCCTTATTCTGATTATAAGGCCCTTACACCAATCCCTCATAGCAGCCCTTCTTGTAGAAGCCTCATTGAGCCCTTGAAGGATCCCTGCAAAAGGAGCCCTGTTTTAGTGAAAGCCCGAGGACCATGAGCTTCCGGGACCTCCATGGAGCTGACCGGTGGGTGAAAAGAAGTGGCGAAAGAAACGGGAAAGGGGGGCTTGGGGTTTGGGTTTTTGATCAGGGGTGTCGGGGTTAAGGATTTCAGGAATTGTGTTTTTTTTGGGGCTTGTTTGTTTTTGTTGAAAGGGGGGGGCTTTCGAGGTACAGGTGGTGGTTTTGGGGTGGCTTTGAGGCTTTCTTAGAGTTTTGGTCTTTAGGGTTGTTGGGGTCAGGGTTTAGCGGATTTGGGGTGTAGAGACCGCTATGTCGAGTCATTGTAGTCGCCCCCGTCTCGTTGGGACTCTTCAGACCGAAAGTGATTGGATTCGTGCGGGCATTGTCTTGAACCCGTAAGCCAAGTTGATGGTCCCCCAAAACAGACAAGCGGGACGAGGGGCCGTTCCCCAGGCTCTCTTTGGCTTCAGTGCTTCCGTTGTATCGCAATACACACTTAGGGAACTGCGAATCTGCATGCTTCTGATCGTACGTGCTACTGGTACAATCTGTTGTTTGCAGCAGAGGAAGTCTTAGCCCGAAGCCAACTCATGAACCCAAGACCCTTAGCCCCAATTCGAAGGTGAGCAACCGCTAGATCTTACAGGCGGGATCCCAAAACGGGTTTAGAGTTTATGGTTTGGTTTTTATGGTCACTTCATTTACACAGGAATAAGCCGCACACAGGGATTCCTACACTTGCATGTTCGCACTGTGCATCCTCAGTATGCTTCATACAGTGGGCACAAGGATTTACAGGGCATTGCATAGCCAGGCATGGCATGGGATGCTGTGCGGAACCTCAGGACCCTAAGGTATGGAATACAGGGGTATTGCACGTGTGTGTATGCATAAATCAATGTAAAATTTATATCCAGGTCAAGAGCGATGTAAGATCGGTCGATGTGTACATAAACAAAGAATAGATAAATCGATGTATATATATATGTATATATACAGATAGATATAGATATAGATATAGATATAGATATAGATATAGATATAGATATAGATATAGATATAGATATAGATATAGATATAGATAGACATACATATGAATATGTATGCAGACATAGATCCATGCATGCATGCGCGCATGTGTATGATGCCACTCGCATACCCACCCTACACTTACCCTCCTACGCCGGCTTGTCTGGGCTCAGTACCGAAATGTTGAGCCCACCCGGGCCCGCGCCAAGGGTTTCCTGGCCTGACAACTACTCGGGGGTGTTCAGTTTAGGGCTTAGGGTTCCGGGGGTGACGGCAAGATTGGAACTAGTGTGTTTCTGCCGCTTGAAGTCTTCGGGGGCCATTCGTCTTTGCAAAGTCACCTGGTTCCAAGAGACATATACGAGGCCTCGAGCCGTAGACGACTTCTTTCCCATCCTTCGCAGTGTACATGGGTAGGGTCCCTTATAGGGTCCTTGTGCTAAGAACGACCAACCGGGACCCTAACCTGGAGACCTACACACACGATAGTCCGCCTTTAAGACGTTGATCCTCAAACTTTGAGGCTGAAAGGACGAAAGCGAATCCCGCATGACTCCTCCCAGCCTTGAGACTCCAGAGCGCGAACATATTAGCCTGAAGCCCCGACACCCCAAATGCAGAACCACGGGACCCCAAAATACACCCCCGAACCCCAAAACCGTAAAATCCCAAACTCCAAGCCCTCGTACTACTAGATTACTGCTACTGCTACTACTACTACTACTACTACTACGACGACTACGACTACTACAACTACTATTATCATTCTTATTGTGGCAACGTAGGTGCACCATGGACGCGTCTTTCAGCGCGCATCTCGACCAGCTGATCGGGCGGCTGAAGCTCGAGCCTCGCCTCAAAGAGCGGAGGGCAAGGGGGGTTCAGGGTTTAGGGGTTTAGGGTTTAGGAAGTTTAGGGTTTAGGAAGTTTAGGGAACAACAAAGGGGGGTTTTCAGGGTTGGGGTGTCTAGGGTTTGGAAGTTTAGGGTTTGGGGGTTTCACTTCACTGTGATACCTCCGCATCCAGGAAGTTGTGCAGCACTACGAGCGGGATTGTGCATCCATTAAAGCCAGCCTCGCCGAGAAGCAGGAGGCTTCATGGGGTGCGGTGTTCAGGGTTCAGGGTCATGATGCTTGGGATGCAGGCTTCAGGATCCATGGGGATTGGGATTTAGGCCCTCGGACCCATGGGTTTAGGGGTTTTTAGGGGTTGTTCGGGCTGTATGTTCTCATAGGATCGGGTAAGGGATGGCCTGAAAGATTCTGCTGCGCATGGGCCGCTTCAGTCGAATGCCGTGTTTTGTCTCTCTCTTTTTTTCTTTTCTCTCTCTCTCTCTCTCCCTCTCCGCCTCGCTTTCTTGCTCCTTCTTTTGAATGTCTCAGCAAGCTTGGTTCAAGGCATGCACTTGGAGTTGCTCTTCTAACCTTAGGACACCGGCGCTTCGTGTGTGCTGTAGCAAAGAGGTCAAGCATAGCTCGAAGGAGGTGCGGATGTTGCATGCGCTTGGCTCATGGTCGAGGATTCCGGGTTCCATGTTAGCGATTCAGGTTCAGGATTCGTCTGGGCTCTTGGGCAGTAGGCTGTCAGACGAACACTGGCCCTAAGCCTCTAACTCCTCCCTAAACCCTAAACCCTACAAAGAATCCCAAGCCCTGAGCTTTGCGAAGACCCGGTGCTTCCAAGTCTACAAGTATTCAGTCACAGCCTCGCAACCTCACAGCAGAAACGAAGACTCTGGAGTTGTTGCGATGAGTACTTACGAATGCTGTTTTTCGTAGCTATCGAATAGTATACCCCCGAAACCCTGTTCTAATGATTGAGGCCCCTATATTTCTCTGGTCAGGGTGTTGCATGGAAAGCAAAGTGGCTGTTGCATGTCTACCGCTAGAACTACTGCCATCATTGTCACATATATACACTGTATGTGCGCTTGTCTACGCATATAGGAAACACATTCACATAGAAGCATTCCATGGCATTGTTTCTATTTTTCTCTCTATTTTTCTGCGTAAGATGATCCACAAGTCGCTTTCGGAAACAGGCGGCGTTATCACCCGTTGCGAGACCGCAGTTCTTGCGGCTGACGGCTGGCAAGAAGGTGCCCGGCTTCGATTCCAACGAGGTGCGGTCTAGGGGTTAGGATAGGGCTTAGGGAGGGTCATTGTTGTGCTGAGAGGAGCACAGAAGCTTTGTTTTCGGGGGTTTGACCCTTGGAGGTTCATGCTGGCTTTTGTTGTAAGTAACGAAACCGTCGTGAAACTATCTTGGAAGCCCAAAGTCCAATACTTCGAACTACCCTCCCTCAAGCATCTCTCGCGTTTTGGTCATATCCACCCGTCAAGCTATTTGTATTTTCCACACATGTACAGTTCAATTACCTGCACTTGTGGTTCCGTCTGGCGTGCTTCTTCTTGCTTTCGGTTCTGTCGTTGGCAACCAAGACCCTAAATCCTAAACCCCTAGACTACAAGAGTTTCGGCACCAATTCACGGTATTTGCAGGGTCCCCCGGTCTCGGGTTCGGAGTGCTGGCTCGGTCTGTACCCGCCATCGACCTGATCCCTTCAGCTGAGGGTTTCAGGTTGAGTGTTTCGAGTATGGATTTAGGCGCCCAGGGTTTATGTGGTTTAGGGGTCCAGTGTGGATTGAAGATTTGGACTTCAGGCTAGACTAGACTACCTTTGCTGGAGCAGGCGGTCAAAGGGTGGCGGTGCATGTGAAGATTGCGGTCGCGCCTTGCGAGGTCCTTAAACCCCTAAACCCCTAAACCCCTAAACCCCTAAACTCCTAAACCCCTAAACCCCTAAACCCCTAAACTCCTAAACCCTAAACCGTAAGGATCCAGAGCCCTGCTCTGGAGTCGAAAGTCTAAACGCTCGCCTAAGCCCCAGCTCTACACGCTGAGTCCCTGAGCAGCGGGGCTCTGAACCGGGCACCCTGAATCCTGAACCTTCCTAAACCCTAAGCCCTAAACCCTGAACCCTAAACCCTAAACCCTAAACCCTAAACCGTAAACCCTAAACCCTAAACCCAAAACCTTCTTGAGACACTGCTCAAAAGCCGCACCCCTCCATCCTGCACCTTCCTGAGCTTTTTTGTACACTCGAAGGTTTTTTTCGGCAAGTCGCCCTATTCTCCGCACAACTGGAGACCGACGGCGGCGGACTCGGACTCCAGCGAGGAGTTCGATTCCTGGCGAAACCTTCGAGATTCAAGGATTAGGGTGAGGGTTTAGGGCGTAGGGTATGGCGTTACATGTATAGGATTCAACGATTTGAGCTGCAGGGTTTGGGTGTAGTATAAGCTTTACAGCTTACACCTGAACGGGCACGAGCGGACCAAGGAACCCCAGAGCAAGATCCACCGGCGGTTGGCTTCGAAATCTGCTGCTTCGGACCTGGACGTATCCGATCGAGCCCCTTGGCTGTCAGTCGTCGGCTGCCTCCGCTTGCCAAGCAGAGCCCGAATCCCTCGCGACCCTAAGCCCTAAGCAGAACAAACGGAAACAGAACCCTGACGCACTAAGCTCAGAGCCAAAGCCCTCTAGCCCTGACTACTTCTGCCAGCGCCCGTGCCTGAAATCGCCCTAGAAGCCCAGGAGACCGTAACGTCGACGGATTCTTTGGAGCTGAAAACGCCGAAGGGGCCCTACCACCCACCTCACCTGCCGGACTGCCTGGGAGTTATCAAAATCTTGGACGCGTGAACCCGTCAAAAACGATCTGCCTACCAAACGGAGCTAAATCCGAACTGAACCGTAATAGGGGGTGCCTGAATCAAAGCCCTAGACCCTGAATTCAAGCCCTGCTAAACCCTAAACCCTAGACCCTCCACCCGAAGCCAGAACCCCGAACTCTAAACCCTGAGGCCAAAACAGGATCAAACGTAGAGCCCCGGGCTCTCCAAGAGCAAAAACCCCCTCAGAGACATGCACAAGCTTGCAACCCATGGGGCAAAGAGCCTCGATCTCTCTTTCAGACCTCTCCTAAACTTACCTTTGGTGTGTATGGGGAATGGAAGAATCCTTATAAGGGATCTATAAGGGTACTATAAATAACAGGGGCCTTAATAATCCTATAACTTACCTTTGGTTAGTAGGGAATGGAAGAATGGTAGTAATAGTAGCTATACTTGTACCCCATTCCCCCATTCCCTACTAACCCAAGGTAAGTAACCCCAGCCCTTCAGCTCCAGATCCTACCGGGCTTCGGGTGTACAGGGAGTTTAGGGTTTGAGGGCTTGCAAGCCTTTCAGATTCAAATCAGAGAAGGGTTTAGGGTTTAGGGTTCAGATTCAAATCAGAGAAGGGTTTCGGGTTTAGGGTTCAGATTTAAATCAGAGATTCCTAGAGGGTTTAGGGTTTAGGGGTTCAGATTTAAATCAGAGATTCCTAAAAACCTGGCACCCTAGAAAATCGGGCCATATGCCCCGGCAAGACTCTCACAACACACTGAAATCGCAACGCGCTTAAATCCCAAACAACCCGAAACCCACTGAACTACACCCCTAGCCCTAGGCCAACCCCCCCCCCCCTAAACTTAAACCCTTAAACCTAAAATTAAAACCCCTAAACCCCTAAACCTTAAACTTCCTAAAGCAGGACGCATTCCGTCCAAAGACCCCTGCGGCCACCCCCGCGGCGCTTTTCGAGGCGAAGGTCGCGCTCCAAGCCTTTCATAAGAACGGTTTAGGGTTTTAGGGTTTAGGCTTTAGGGTTTATGTCTTCTGGTTTAAGGTTTAAATTCAAGGGTTTAGGGCCTAGGGTTTTCGGGTTTAGGGTATTGCAGGTTTTAGCGATTTAGGGTTTAGGGGTTAGGGTTGAATGGTTTAGAGCTATAGGGATAGGGTTTAGGGTATGGGGTTGAGGGTTCAGTTAAGGCCTTAGGGCTTTGGGTCAAGACATGTTCAAAAGCCAGGCGGGCAGAATCAGGACGACAAGGAAAATCATCGTGCAGGGTGAGTGGATTCATGAGAACGGCAAGCAAAATCAGCAGCGAAGAACAACGGTGAATTCAAGAAAGGGAACAAGCTCAGACCACAACCTAAGGGTTCAGCGCCTTTTGATCTGAATCTCCCTGCACTCCCGGAGATCTACTTAAAAGGATTTGAGCCTTAACCTCAGATCCTGAAGACCGCCACGATTAGGGGTTGGGGGTTGTAGAGTTTAGGGTTTCGGGCTTGGGGGACGGGTGGGGGAGGGGGGGTTGAGATCTTTGGGTTCGGGTTTCGCGCTTTGGTTGTAGAGGGCTTTTGTGGGGGTCTTTTCGCAACCAGAGACTTTCGGGCCCTTAAACCCTAAACCCTAAACCCTAAACTGAGGCGAGGCGCTTCGAGTGATACAGTCGCCGAGCCGCAGCGAAGCACACCCGGTGCGCAGCGGGCCCGGAGCAACGAGCGCAAGCGCGCAGGGCCTTGGGCGAAACACAGCCCACGCGACCTGCCATAGGGAGCTGCGCACGAGCCCGTATGCGATGTGCGCAATAAGAAGATCACCCTAACCCCCCCCCATCAAGGCAGAGGATCCCTGCAACGGCCCTCGCCAAGGCCGAGGGTCCCTGCTCCTTTCTTTTCGCGTGGCAGCTCTATAAAACGGTTCCAAACTCCAAAAGCTATGGAGCCCAGCTTAGAAAAGAGACCCTCGCGTGCTTGTGCCTGGGAGCCCGGCTCAGAAAACGCACCCTCGAGTGCTCGTGTGTGCCCAAAGGGGGCGGGGCCACATGCTGCAGCAAAACGGCGCCGCTCTTTTCGTGCTTCGAGTGATACAGTCGCCGAGCCGCAGCGAAGCACACCCGGTGCGCAGCGGGCCCGGAGCAACGAGCGCAAGCGCGCAGGGCCTTGGGCGAAACACAGCCCACGCGACCTGCCATAGGGAGCTGCGCACGAGCCCGTATGCGATGTGCGCAATAAGAAGATCACCCTAAACCCCCCCCATCAAGGCAGAGGATCCCTGCAACGGCCCTCGCCAAGGCCGAGGGTCCCTGCTCCTTTCTTTTCGTGTGGCAGCTCTATAAAACGGTTCCAAACTCCAAAAGCTATGGAGCCCAGGGTAGAAAAGAGACCCTCGCGTGCTTGTGCCTGGGAGCCCGGCTCAAAAAACGCACCCTCGAGTGCTCGTGTGTGCCCAAAGGGGGCGGGGCCACATGCTGCAGCAAAACGGCGCCGCTCTTTTCGTGCTTCGAGTGATACAGTCGCCGAGCCGCAGCGAAGCACACCCGGTGCGCAGCGGGCCCACGCGACCGGCCATAGGGAGCTGCGCACGAGCCCGTATGCGATGTGCGCAATAAGAAGATCACCCTAAACCCCCCCCCATCAAGGCAGAGGATCCCTGCAACGGCCCTCGCCAAGGCCGAGGGTCCCTGCTCCTTTCTTTTCGTGTGGCAGCTCTATAAAACGGTTCCAAACTCCAAAAGCTATGGAGCCCAGGGTAGAAAAGAGACCCTCGCGTGCTTGTGCCTGGGAGCCCGGCTCAAAAAACGCACCCTCGAGTGCTCGTGTGTGCCCAAAGGGGGCGGGGCCACATGCTGCAGCAAAACGGCGCCGCTCTTTTCGTGCTTCGAGTGATACAGTCGCCGTGGCAGCTCTATAAAACGGTTCCAAACTCCAAAAGCTATGGAGCCCAGGGTAGAAAAGAGACCCTCGCGTGCTTGTGCCTGGGAGCCCGGCTCAAAAAACGCACCCTCGAGTGCTCGTGTGTGCCCAAAGGGGGCGGGGCCACATGCTGCAGCAAAACGGCGCCGCTCTTTTCGTGCTTCGAGTGATACAGTCGCCGAGCCGCAGCGAAGCACACCCGGTGCGCAGCGGGCCCACGCGACCGGCCATAGGGAGCTGCGCACGAGCCCGTATGCGATGTGCGCAATAAGAAGATCACCCTAAACCCCCCCCATCAAGGCAGAGGATCCCTGCAACGGCCCTCGCCAAGGCCGAGGGTCCCTGCTCCTTTCTTTTCGTGTGGCAGCTCTATAAAACGGTTCCAAACTCCAAAAGCTATGGAGCCCAGCTTAGAAAAGAGACCCTCGCGTGCTTGTGCCTGGGAGCCCGGCTCAAAAAACGCACCCTCGAGTGCTCGTGTGTGCCCAAAGGGGGCGGGGCCACATGCTGCAGCAAAACGGCGCCGCTCTTTTCGTGTGCCTGCTCTAAACAGTCCAGTGTCCCTGGGTGCCCAAGCGGTCCAGGCCGCATTCCGCAGCAAAACAGCACGGTTCTTCTCGTGTGCCCGCTCTACACCTCCCCCCGATCCTCAACCCTGTCACTTCCTCGGAAGCCGGATCAAAAAATTGACCCCGGAGTGCTCCTGTGTGCCCAAAGGAGTCGGGGCCACGTTCTGCAGCGAAGCTGGCCGTTCTTTTCGTGTGCCTAGGCTGTCGAGGCAACATGCTGCCACAAAACGGGTTGCTCCCTGCGGGTGCCAGCCTTCAAGCCGACCCAAGCCAAAAGCCTGCCCTTCGAAGCCAGGGCCCGTGGCCGAACTACTCATGATGCGGTCACGTCATCGCTTCATGGAGCTGCAAAGCTGCGGCACCTTTGTATCCGCGCAAGACCGTGGACAGAAACTAGACGACAGACATTTCGCAGGTTACAAGCACATTTGCACGCACCCGGGAACCTCCACTAACCCATCGCTTCGTTGGCCCGTGGCGGTCTGCGCCCTTCACGCTCCAACGAACCTGCACCTCCTCTAATCCCGACCCAGTACGCACCGCACATGTAAGCAGACCAGGCCTACGTGCCCACGTTGCTGCACACATCTTCTTACGTCCAGCGCAGATGCGCGCACAGACACGCGGACGTGCTTATACATGTGCAAGCCAAGATGATCGCATCTGTCTACGCATTCGACGCGGGCGTCTTGCCTTGGTTGTGGCAACTCAGCGATCCTCATGCACCCGCGCTGCAGTAAGTGAGGAAGAAAAGGAAGTAGGTCAGAATGAACGCGAGGGTTCCTCCTAGAAGGGAACCCTAAACCCGTAAAGGTCGAGGTCAGGGCGGCTGGGGTGGGAATACTAGCTACGCACAGCGAGCGCAAATGGTGAGGGTCGGCGTGAAAGCAGTATCGGGAGCCGGCCCGTGAAGGATGCGCGAGCGGACACAGCGCAAACCCCTAAACCCTAAACCCCTAAACCCCTTAACCCTAGACCCTAAACCCTAAATCCCTAAACCCCTTGACCCTAAACCCTAAGGCCATGTAAAAATGCGACAGGCCAAGGCCGAAATCCGGAGCTCCAGGCCTCGAGCCCCAAACCCGAAGCTACCGGCAGAAGCTTTGCGCAGCACAAAACCCTTAAGCCCTACAAGAGGGGCCTAAATAGTTACCAGTACTATTTTGGGGGGTTCCTTGTTGATAGCTATAGTATAATGGCCCCATGCAGCCCTATTCCGATTATTAAAGGCCCCTATATGATAGCACCCCTATAGATTCCTTATAGACCCCTTTAAGAAACCCTTGAACGGAACCCTATTTCTAACCATTAAGGCCTCCCCCGTGTTTTATGACCAAAGACACAGCCGAACTCGCGAGCAAAAAGGCGCCGGCTCCTGAGAAGGAGCTGCCAGAGGTCAAGGCGCAAGAGATTCCAAAAAACGGTTGCACTTTATTATGGAATTAGGGCCCCAAAAGACCATCACTATTATGGTTTTGGGGGGCCTAATTCCAAAGTTGAAGGGGGGTTTTTTGGGTGTACGTATTAGAGGTTTGGGGTTTAGGGTTTTCGGGTTTGGGGGTTTTCAGGTTTAGGGGTTTAGGGCGCGGGGGTTTCCAAGCCCTAGAGATCCACGGCCTGGTAACCCGGAGCTAGGGTGGTTGGGCTTGGGTTTTTTTTTGAAGCTTCAACCCACAGCACTGTCACAGCACCCTTTAGGGTTTAGGGTTTAGGGGCAGAAACTGTCGAGCTTTTTTCTCGAATGTTTACATCTTACATAGGCACGAAATCCTAGCCCAAAGCCCCTGGGCCCCTAACTCCAGAGGCAAGTCCCGTGCACCTGAAGTCAGAAGCCAAGTTCAGGTTTAGGGTATCAGAAAAGACGCTTCAATGCTTGGTAATATCTTTCCGAATCTTTCCCTTGTAGTCTCTGGTATAATAAGTTTCTTTATAATATAGCTCCGATAATGCAAATGAATTATGAAGGTTCCTACATGACACCGCAAACCCTGGTTCAACGAATCTAAAGGTGGAATCGTTGAGCCCCAAAGCTTGAAACATCGAAGGACCTCCCGGAAGGCAGTCTCCTAAATCCTCAAAGAACAATCCCCAATACAGAAGGCCTGAATAAGTAGAATAGGGTAGTGGGGTGTGGTATGCACATGGGTAGTTGTCAAAATTATGGCCCCTTTTTGGGTACCCTAAATATTAAGTGCAGTCTTATACCCAGGGCCCCCAAACAGGGACCATCATTTTGACAACCACCCAAGATCATGCTTGGAGCAGTAAGGAAATCTGAAACTAGCCTATGGTACCTGTTCCTTAAAGGAACCATTATGAAATAAAAGTCTATACTTTTTCTCCGTGGTTACTTCAAAGTTCAGCTAAATGAGCAGCACAGCCAGAGCTCCAAAATCCTCGGACCCGAAACCCCACACTGAGCCAAAAACATAAGGGCCCAAATAGTTACCTATATATATATATATATATATATATATGTAATATTTCATAGTTGTAGTATAATGGGCCCCAAAACCCTATTCTAATTATTAAGGCCCCTACATTAGTCCCCATGCTGTTCTGCAGGAAGCCTCCGGCTCCGAGTCGGAGGAGTTGGCCGCTCGCCAGTGCACCTTTCAGGTCTTTGTGGGTTTAGGGTTTAGGGTTTAGGGTTTAGGGTGTAGGGTGTAGGGTTTAGGGTTTAGGGTGTAGGGTGTAGGGTGTAGGGTTTAGGGTTTAGGGTGTAGGGTGTAGGGTTTAGGGTTTAGGGTTTCGAAATGGCTGGGCGAAATAGCGGGTTAGGGGTTCTAGAACGGGGGAATGTAAGGGCTTCCATAGGGGCGTCCAAAACGGGAGGGCAGTTCTACAAGGGCTCTGCACCTTCGGGAGGGGTTTCTACAAGAGGAGTCGCGAGGGCGTCTAGCGAAGTTCTATATCCGGGCTGAAGGTTTATGGGTCCAGCTTGCTGTTTGAGAGTTTTAAGGTTTGGGTAGGTTTGAGAGTTTAGGAGCTAGAACTTGGGCATCAGGTGCAAGAAGTTGTAGGGTTTAGGGTTTAGTTGGCTTTAGGTCTGTGCAATTCGGGGGATTCAAGCTTAGGGTTGATGAGCCTGATGCCTTAGATGTGCTACGCTGCCCAGCGTCTTTTAGACTTTTGAAGTATCGATTGTGTTGTTCAGGTTTCTATCTCTGAGAAGGGCTCGGGGTGCACGGCCCTCGGTTTAGGGATAGGATTTCGGAACTACTCAGCACTTGTGTTCGTTAGGCCTTAACATCTCCTCAACTGCATCTCGGTTCTCACGGCGTTGCGTGAGTTCTGCTGGTTTTGGGGTGATTGCGCTTCGACTAGACGGCCCGAGTTCAACCGGTAAGTGTTCTGCCTGTAGAAGTGTAGGACTGTAGGAGCTCCTAGATCACCGACGCCGTGCCAGCAGAAAGACATGGCAATCTGCCCAGAGAACATCGAGGAACTCTTGCACCTCGTCCCGAATCTGCTCGAAGATGAAGGGTGGCAGATTTGCCATGAGTGTCCTGCTGGCAAGCTCTCGAAACAAAGTTGTCCGTGGGGTGGGCATCTCGTCAGGATGTCCTGCCAAAATATCCCGGTGACTGGGTTCTTGTTAAGGAACTTAGTTTATGTTACCACTATAAGGAAGCCAAATTTGTTACTATAGATCCCTATTATGGTATGTGAAAATACGTTCCTGAACCCTCTAGCGTGCTGTTCACGCGCGCCGTTCAAAGGATGAAGTAGTAAGTAAAACAGATTTACATGAAAGGCGCGGTATTTTCAGGCTTTAGAGCGTTGGGAAGTGAACAGCTTTCAGGCACCAAAACTAGATGAGAATTGGTCGGAAATGCGCTACAGCCTTGGGTTTTGGACACATCGAGGCGTATAAGAGAAGGCGTTTACTGAGCAAATTCGCACATGTTGTGCCTGCCAGGAACTCACAGCTTCAGCAAGGCTGAGAAAGTCTTGCGCGCCTTGGATGCTCTACGTGAACGGATGGAGTCTGATCTGGACGTTTTCATGGTTGGCCCATGGATGCTCGGGCCAACTCCTCCAAATACCGTAAATACCATGGCCTTCGAGGCCTCCACGCCACCACCTCCACCACCCCGCGAAAAACGCGACAGGCGCGACGTTTTCGGCTGCAAAGTCCACAAAACACCGTAGATACCGATGTGATCGGCGTGCGCGCGGCGAGCGTGAACAGCACGTCGGTGCCCTTAACAAGAACCCAGGTGAGCAACCTTGGAGACACGTCTCCGCTCTTCGTGCGCCCAGAGGCTCGGATCCGGATGTTACCTGAGCTGAACGAGGAGAGGTTTGAGGTCGTGACTGGGTTCCTGTTCAGGAACTTTTTGACATAGGGATGTTTAGTACATCATACGGTTTCCTTATCATAATAAATCATAGGGTTTGCTTATCATGGTAGCATAAATAAATCTTCTTCACAAGAGCCCAGGTGAAGCAACTTGGAGCTGGCGATGCTTGGGTCAGACGAGACGGAGATGTATACACACGTTTCTTCAAGCTCTGCAACGTGTTCTTCTCTTTGAAGCACAAGGACGATGCTAGCCTGGCTTTCTTGTTCCCCACTGGCCTCGAAATGGTGCTCAACATGGTTCGGCACAACTATGCAGAGATCGGCGACAGTGTCCTGTTTGCCCGAAACCATACCCGCACGTATATCGGCTTCGGTCACGCCCGCAGGCAGAAGGAGCCAGGCCTTGTGTCGATTGCCTTGACGCTGACGGCGCCCACTGTTGCTAACTGGGTTTCGGTGCCGTTTGAAAGCGTGATAGCCTCGGCCAGGGCTGTGATGGACTGGTACGTAAATCGCCCAGGCATGGAGGAGATGAGGCGATTGGATGAGCAGTTCTATGTGGTCCTTACCATACACAGCTGGCCACGGGGCCGACCTTTTCTGCCAGTTTTAGAGCAGAGTACCGGGGACGGTACTGGGGACACCGAGGACGTGACGACCATCGATGCAGGCCGAAGTCAAGGGCTGGCCCACTGGGGTCGTTACCATCCCCGCATGGTTGGAAGCAGCAATTTCCTTCTCTCGGAGTATCTCATGCTCTTCTTGGAAAAGCTTGGTGAGCACGTGGACGTGTACCAGTCTCTGGAGGGAAAGGAGTTGCAGCACTACCAGTGTATAGTTCCACACCACGAGTGGCAGCGTGTGAGGGACCGCTTCTACAGTGCCTACACGCTGCAGAAGTCGGCGTATCGGCGTGCGAACGGGGGTCAATCGGCACCCGGCATGAGTGAGCACGCGGAGCCCCGCTTTCGCACAGACCGGGGCCTCTGTCTGCCGCAGCGTCTGTACAGGCCGGTGCTGACGGCCCCAAGAGCCCCGGCTCTGGTGGTCCACAACACATTCCTGGAGTTGGAGGAGCCCGAGGAATTGGGAACGGGTGAGTTCGAGAGAACTAGATCGCTGTCGGCCTCACCGCGCTCCTTTCACAACAAGCTGGTCCTGGCAACCTAGAGAGCCTAGATTAGGCTGTGGATGTGTCGTCAGGTGGCGATGGTCGGTGCCGTTTTCAATCCGATTGCAGTAATTCCATATAGGTGCAGTTGCTCGGAACACCGCGACCCTCGGAACAGTAAATACTGTTTGGGCACCACGTGTTCTCGCAATGCAACACTCTTTAACCTGGCAGTGTATAGGTGCTGTTGCGAAGAAGAGGCGATGTTTCCCGGCCTATAGCCGAACACATTGCTTGTAAAGTGGCCTTACTTCACGACGGCCAAAGACAAGCCCAGAGAGAGAAAATAACAATGCGGCAATGCCTCATGGCCTGAACTGCACCGGGCCAAGACATGCCGAGTATGTAATTTAATTTATGCCCAGAGAAGCTTCCGATATTAGAGGGCATGTCGTGCATAAGCGGATCTTGACCACGGCAAAGTGGTTCATGTGGATAGCCGCGGCAGCCTGTCTGAAGAAGTTGCCTAAATCTCCAGATTGAAGGCCTGGTGCATAAAATCTCAAGCTTCAAGCCGTACGGACGTCGAACACCCTAGGCAGCCAATCGTACCGAGTCGCTGTGGCCTCCCTGATGCTGAGGCCAACCCGACTTCTTCACCGCCGGCGCCTGCGGACTTTGCTTTGCCGGCCACACCGCCACGGGGCCGCATTCGAGTACGTGCACCCTCCAGCGTGAAAGCGTCGAGCGCAGCGTTGTGCCGAGCCCTGAAGCTGTAAATCCACATCCTTACAGTAATCCAAAACCCAAAAGTCCTAAACCAACCGCATTCACCCCAAAACCCTATCGTGACCGTGGTCGTGATGATGCTACTTCATTGTCGCTAGCATGCATTCCAACCCGGAGCCCAGGGAGACATCGCCCCCGGTCGTAGCTACCTTGCGGTCGCAGGCGAAGCTGATTGTTTTGAGGAGTAGTGCAGGGTTTGGGGGATATAATGGTATAGTTCTACAGGGAATACGGCAAATTTCTTCCACTATTCAGGCCGGTATAGATTGGAAGCTGAGGCATTGCTTGTCAAGGCAACCCTTCCCTCGGCTTGGTAGGGTGTAGAGTTCAGGGTTTAGGATTTAGGGTTTAGGGTTTAGGGTCTAAGGTTAAGGGTAGATTCCGGAGCGTTGAACGCATTTGGCATTTGGTTCTGCTATCGCCTGAGCCTCTTGCAATGCTGCAGCGACATGATCTCATGGCAGACAAGAACCTATCAAACCCTCAGCCCCCTCAACCCGACTCAACCCTAAACCCTAAACCCGAAACGAAGCGTGTTCAGCTGGTTCGCTTGGAAGGTCCTGACGGCCGGGCTCAAGGCTCAGAGTTTAGAGTTGTTGACCTGCTTGCTAACACTTCTAAACTCTGGCTTCTATCAACTTCCTTGAAGTCGTGTCTCATAGCAACAAATCACTCTTCAGGGTTTAGGGAACCTAAAAAAGGCCACCGGTCAAGAATCACTGCCGAAGGCGCCACCGGGTGGCTCGTGCCAGTGGGCTCCAAAACAGGAGCCCTTTCGATCTCCGCAACGTAGGAGTCGGAACAGTCTGCAGTACCCTTCTATCAGATTAATATGGGGCCATCTCATTAGAATAGGGTTTGTACTATCTTGTACGATATTTTATCTTCTACTTTATTTTTCTTTATTATTACCCTTCTAGTCCAAATCCTCTTGGGCAGGTCAGCTTTCGGCGCGGCTCCACGAGCAACAGCCTCGCGGACTCGGGAGGCACTGGCGTCACAGCGCAGCCGAAGGGTAAGGCAGGGCCGGGAAGGGGCCGTCGTGTAGGGGAGAGGTAGTCTGACTACAGTTGATGATATAAATCCTGCAGTACCCATATCAAGGAATATACCATAGTTCCCATAGTTTAGGGTCCTTAAGGTAATCCAGGATTTATATCATCAGCCGTATCACCTTGTTTAAGACAGGAGTCGGATGTGTTAATGTTTATGTGGATCTATGTGCTCCGTCTTTTGTCATCAATGCTTTCTTTTGCATGTCCTCGTTTGCATGGGGTTTAGGGCTTAGGGTGGTTTTTGAAAGGTTGTGCCTGGTTGTCTGGTCTGGTCGGTTTTGGTTCATGGTTTCGTCGTTGATGGGCTTGTGGTCGTTCTGAGTTCTTGTAGTCGACGATGGGTTCAGGGCTGATGTAGGCTAGGGCATTCGGGCCATAGGACTCGAGATTTGGGGCCGAGGACCGCGAGACACCATCGGGGACAGTTTAGGGTTAACCGGGCTTAACGTAGTTAGGGGTTTGGAGCTGTGCGCTCACCGGGAGAAAAGCTGTTCGCGTGCAGTTGGGCAGGCGAGTTTCCGCCGTGGCTCCACCAGTGAAGGCCTTGGCGACGTTGGCCCGACGACAGGCTACGCGGAAGGGCTCTGAACCGGAAGCCCTAACGTCTCCAAAACCCAAACCCGTCACAGGGTTTCTCTTGTTGAGCTGGGCTTTCACAGTTCGGCCTGAGTCTCTGCTCCGCGTGGTTTTCCTTGCTTGCAATGGGTTTTCAGTCTGCAGTCGGGATGACGAGAGTCCTGTTGTCACGACATGTAGTTTTTTTGCGCCTGGTGCAACAGCCGGAGTCCTCCAGCCCAGCCCGAACACGACGGACTACCGGAAAAATGCAGCCCGCAGAGAGAGTGGCCGGCAGGGCGTGTAGTTTGGGTCAACCAGGTGCCAACGCGCAGACGAAGGAATCGATTCGCGAGGCCCGCCTCTCTGAGCCCTTTGACTGCTTTTTCCTAGCCTTGGTGTGTCACGACCTTCTGACCCGGATCTGGGGGATCTGGCCGAAGCTCGCAGCCCTTTCTGAGGCCGCATTCGCAAACTGCTCTCAAAACAGGCACCATGCGAGGCAACCCTGATTTGAACCAGCTTTCAAACCTCTTGCAATACCACAATCGTCGAGTCCTTGGTCAAGCAACACCTTTCACCTCCGAGTTCTGAATTTTGAGGACAACCAGAGAACCCCGAGCTTAGGGTTTCCGGTTCGCATTCGCTACCAATGCAGGAAGAAGTGACCGCGTTTAATACTGCTGGTTGGCTCAGGGTTTGTGAGGTTCAGTTCCAGGGCGTGGGGGTTTCGTGGTTTCGGGTCTTACACCCTTGTCGGGTTCTTGTATACTCGCCCGAAGGAGGAAGTCGAGGCGAAGAAGTCCGACGCTTGACCGCAGCAAGACATGGAGGCTGCATTATGAGTGCATGTGAGGTTTTGTCGGCTCCCCGTCGCCACCAAATAACACCAGCAGCGGCAACAGCGTCGGCAACAGCTGTAATTACTGTGACAGCTGCTGATGCGGCTGACGACGCCGACTACTACTACCACTGCTACTGCTACTGCTCCTGCTCCTGCTGCTGCTGCTGCTGCTGCTGCTACGACGGGGACTACGACTACGACTACGACGACGACTACACCGCCGCGACAAAGAGTATTCCTGCCGTTGATGTTGCCGTCCGGTACTTCCAGTCGTAGTTTTGCCGTGCTTCAGATATGCAACACCTCCTCCGGGCATGCTATGGGGTCACCTGCGGCATTATTGCAGCTGTCAGTGTCCTTGTGTCACGCTTCACGCCCAATTCCACCCTCGCTAGTAGTCCTACACCCTGAACCCTGAACCCTAACCCCTAATACTATAGTCTCTTTAGGATTTCTTTTATTCTCTTTCCTATAAAACCCAAGAGAATCTTAAACATGTTACTTTAATTATGGTTCTAAGGGGGGGGTATAGAATAAGCCCAACTAGCCCAGGGCAAGAGTTCCTCCTCCTCATCCTCGTCGTCCGGCTCCTCCGCCTCCTTCGCCTCCAGCAGCGTCGCCGGGCCGTTTAAGCAGACCTGGGGATTCTGCGTTCAGGCCTATGGCGTCGGGATTCAGGTGCCGATTCTTGGGGGGCACAGATGTTAGGGACCTGGGCTTGCTTCTTCCTTGCTGGCACTGCGCTGAGGCAGCGCTGCTGATGTGAAGAGCTTTATTAAATTCCGGAAGCCAAGCTCTCGCAGCCAAGTGCTGGTAGTGCTGCAATTGCATTGCTTTGAGTCAGCGGTGGTGGAAATGACTTTGACCTTGAAAGCCCAACTCCTCTGTGCACCCTCTGCACCACCATGCATCCTATCGCCCTAAGCCACAGCATTGCGCGTTCCCAACCTTCAGTGCAAATCTGCATGTGCAAGATCACGTTGTCCTACATTCTGAGGACGAGGAGCATGTACCTCCCATGTTGAACAGCCTCTCGGATGAGGATGAGGCTTTCGGCAGGGTAGTTCCCTTAGGTGTAAGAACAGGTGCCATGTTACAGCTTCTGTCCATAGTCATGCTGCATCCGCCTCGGACGGTGTCTTGGCCTTATCCGGAACCTTAAACCCTAAACACAGCACCTAGTTCTTGGCTTTTGGGTCGCCGGTGTGCACGGCGCGTTTGGTACTCAGCTCAGTGGATGACGACGTTGATGTTGCCCCTACCTAGGCCCCCAAAAGCGGGAGAAAATGGTCCGACACCAAAGCTGACTATTCTTATGCAGAGTTTTGGGGTCCAGGTTGGCCCCCGAAAGGAAGCTAAGACCCTACCCCACACTCAGAGTGCACCTAAGGGCTCCGTGCTGAGCCCTAAACCCTAAACACTGAGCACTGCAGCCCTTGAGTGCCGAGGTCGGCTGACCAACAAACGGCCCAGCAACGTTTCGCTTTCGGCCTTCTTCAAGACCGCCTGGGCCGTAATGGTCTATTTCTCTTGTTATGACGGATGTAGTACTGTGATGAGGATGAAGATAATCAAGATGAAGATGATGATGGTGGTGATGATGGACTCGTATGCTGCTGTTACTTCGTTTTGATTGAAGCTTGCTGGATGACTTGTTATGACTTCTGATCTACGCGCTGGGCTCAGGTTATTAGGGGTTTTGTTAGCCTGGCACCAGCACCTCAGGTCCTGCCGAGCTAGCTTTGTCTGGCCTCGCCAAGCTCATCTTCAGGGTCTTTGGGTGTTTAGACTTTTTGGTTCGGAATCAGCCTTTAGGGTTAGGTCCAAGGGTTGGGTTGAGGAGCCTGGGCTCAAGAACTAACACCACGAAGGATGTGAGTGCGTTATGGCGTGCACCAGCCGGAGGATCAGAGATACGTGCAGCCACATCAATATTGCGAATTAGAGTAAACTCGTCTCCAGAATGGCCAAACCATAGGTTAAACACCATTCCAGCGATCCATCCGAGTAGTAAACAGAGTGATGGCGCAATTTCTTCGTCTTCGTTTTCATCAGAAGACCTCGGCAAAGCACCCAATTCCCAGAACCCTCCCAGACATTGCGAACTCTTTAACACAAGCCCCGCGAGCCCCTTTCAAAACCCGAGAGAACAACACGCCCTAAACCCCTAAACCCCGAAAGCCCCAAACCCCCAAACTCTTCAGAACCACGGGGTTTTAAGGGTGTCGAGAACCCTACCCAACAGAACTACGGGGTTTTAAACGTCCGTTTTTTGTTTCAAACGTGTACCCGGCGTGGTTCGAAAGGAGGGAGCCGGCTGTCTCGCGGGTGTGGCTCTTTCTGGAGGCGGGGACTTTAGGGGATAATGTACATTGCAGATAATATAGGGGCCTTAATACTTGGAACAGGGTTTATAATCACATAATAAGGTTTTCTAGGGAGCTTGAATAGCAACGCATACCGTTCCTTAGGGCTCATTCTTCTTCTGGTTATTGGATTTGAATATTCTTTGTCTTCTGCTATGTTTTCGAGTTTCTTTTAGTGCCCCTAGGTTATACTTTGCGTATTCGTTCTTGGTCAAGGTGTAGTGCAGGGTCTAAGATCATGTTGTCATTTATGTCAGTGAGATCATCACTAGCACAAGGTTACCTCCTGGCGCAGCTCTCCTGTACTGCTGGAGGATGTAGAGTGCCAAAGATTCAAGACACCCTAAGGGTCTTATTGGAATTGCAGACAATAGGGGATTCCAAAGCAGGGGTCCGTACAACGGGAGTCCTAGCATTGAGGATTTATTGCGAAGCCCCTTATCCTAACTTGCGAGTACGCCGTGCTGCAGCAGGCATGGGAGCACCCAGACTCGGGGCAATCCATCAATTCCGATGAGCTAGCTTTGGATTCTCCTATACATGGGTAACTGTCAAAATCATGGTCTTTTCGGAATGTAAGTCTACGGGCAGGAGTAGAGGTTTGCCCAAGGCATTTGGGCAGTTCGCGGGCAAACCTAAACCCAAGACCCGGACAACCACCCATATGCGAACGGCGAACCTCCTTGAGATGCAGCAGAGGCTGCGAAATCCTGAGAGTCTAAAGCCAAGCCTACCCTAAACCCTACCTTATACACAATGATCCATACTTCAGCATTCTTCCATGCACTAAGCAGTGGGCACAAGAAACGAGGAGCTAAGGGTTCAGCGGCTCAGCACCTGGTGGATGATCGAGTTTTTTTTTCGCGAAAGCCCAGGATATGTAGTTGTTTTTTTTTTTTTTTTGGGGGGGGGGGGGGTTAGGGTTTAGTTTAGGGTTTAGGGTTTAGGGTGAACGCTACCCTCAGCCCCAAAGACATCAAGATGCCCACAGTCGAAGGATCCAGATTCTAGCAGCGCCGCCGGGTGGTACGCCTTGACGACGAGACTCCGCTGCCTTATCCTGGAGGATCGAAAGATGTAGTTGGTGTTAAGCTTCAAAGTATATATATATATATATATATGAAGCTTTATGTTAAAGTATATATATATATAAAGCCTTAAAGTATATATATATATATATATATATATATATATATATATATATTAGAGGTTCCATGGTTTATTCAACTTTGTTACAAACAAGGCAAGGGGTTCTGAAGGCCATGCACCACGATGAGTTACCTTTCTGAATTTCTGCAAGGGGCATTGGTGAGAACCGTTATATGGAGAACTTGCTGGGAGGGCCCTGCAGACACACAGGTTATGGTCGATTCATTTGTATCTGTACCTATACGAGCAGGATAGGGGGAAGATGTGATTCATGATGCCTGCACCATGAGCACCTTCTGCGGCGGAGACTCAGGAATTACCTTATTACAGCGACAATTCTCTTCACGCCTCTCGTCAGCATGAGGTGTTCAGGAAGCGTCTAGAAACAATTCAATTTCCTGAACTCCCAACCCTCAGCCTTGAACCCGAAATCCCCCAAAAGACGCCCCCAAACCCTCAACTCTGAACCCGCAACCCTGGGTTAAGCTCTCTGAACTCTGCGAAGGTGGAGAGTTGAGGATTTGGGGCATAATGTTGGGCGTTTGTGACTCCTCTTAGGGTTCCCTAGTGTATAAAATACATCAGACAATCCGCAACCTTAATAATTGGAACACTCAGGCCGTGTAGGAGGATCTTCCAGCACGGGGACGTGGAAACATGGCTGAGGAAGCTTTGCCATCGAAAAGGTTCCAGGCCAACATCAACACATCAGCACCCAGAACTAATTTCTCGAAACCTTTGCCGTACCTCCCTCTCTCTCTGCCTCTCTCTCTCTCTCTCTCCTCTCTCTCTCTCTCTTCTCTCTCTCTCTCTCTCTCTCTGTCTCTCGACAGGCTGTAATTCCGCCATGCCCAAGCATAAACCCTGTAATTCCGCCATGCCCAAGCATAAACCCTGAACCCTACATCCTAAACCCTAAACCCGAAAGCATATGCTCGAATATCTTAAGCCCCAAATCCTAAATCCTAAATTGATATTTAACCTGTGGGCTGAGACGTCAGCGGCGCGAAGGTCCCATTGCACTTCAACACAAAACCTCTAAAACACAAAGCCCCAAACCCTACAAACCCTGAACCCCAAAGCCCCAAAGCCCTAAACTCAAAACCCATGGACCCTACCCTAAACCTCTAAACTCAAAGCCCTAAAACCTACCCTAAACCCTACCCTAAACCCCTGAACTCAAAACCCTGGGCCCGTACAGACACTTGCCAGGTCTTTCTGTTCCCGGAGCTAAGGATCTGGCAAGCTGGTTCCGAGCCTTTCTTCTCGAAGGATCCGGGGAGTTTATGGGAGTTTTCGAAAATATGGGTTAAATATTAAGGATCCTACCATTCAGGATACTATATATTAGGGTCCCCTCTTTTGGGAAACCCTCCATATACTGTATCCTATTACTATATACTCCAAAATGCTGTATCATGTTATGGCTAAAGTATGGCACGATGTTATGATAAGCTATATAACATGCTGTACTTAATTATGATGTCTATATACCGTATCATGTTATGATATCTATACTATGAAATACAACAGAAGCAGTAGATTGTTTACAGTAACATTTTCTGATGTATTATGAGACTACAAGGTGCAATCGTAATAGTAAGGTTTGTATAGCTGTGGTATCAAATGAACGCTTTTTGTATACGAGTCAACAGTATACAATAGTATTCCACAGTATACTACCGTTTCCGAGAACGGTTAAACACGTACCTTAACGATACCCGTCCTAGAACGGAATCTAACATACTGGAATATCTTCTCGAAGGACACAGAGGCCTACATCCAGCTGGTGATCGAGGCCGTTGAGCTGTTTGTTGTGTGCTTTTTTGGGAAGGGGGGCTGTGGTTAGCCTGACACCCTAAAATTTGAAGGGAGGGTTTAGGGTTTGGAGTTTATTGGGGGTTGAGGCTTGATACAAGGCTAAAGGCGGTCGTATAAAGGGCTCCTTCAAGGGTTTCCGTGAGTGTTCCTATGACTGGGGGCCGCGAAGTTGTCGTTGCTTCGAGGTTTCGGGCCAAGTGGTGCACCAGATGGTTGGGATGGATCCCCAAGAATCGCCTTTGTTGCTGCTGCTACAAACCAGAACTCTAAAGCGTCTAATCCGAAGCCCGCTGAACCTGCAATCTCTAGCTCCTATGCCCCCAACCAACTCCAAACCCCCGTCCAAAAAATGTACGCCTAAACCCTCAACCCGAAACTCCAAAGCCTTTTGAACCCCACCACCCAAAACCCGAAACTGCAAGAACTAAACCTCAGACCCCAAACCCCAAGCGCAACCCTAAGCCTTCAACGGCCAAACCCTTAAACCCCAATCCCAAGTGTGCAAGAACTGTCGGACGAGGCTTTGGCCCAGACACTGGTTTCGACTTTCGGATTCCGGGGTGACGACTGTAGAGTCGGGGCTTTAGCGGCATTGTGGCGGCATCTTTAGGATTTGGGGTTTAGGGTTTAAGGTTTAGGGTTTAGGATTTAGGGTTTAGGGTTTAGGGTTTAGGGTGAGATTAGATGGGGCTCGCATCTTTGTTGTTACCAAAATGAGGGGTGCAGGGACTTGCTTGGAAGACTTCAGGGCAGGGGTCTCTTCTTGACATAATCTCCAACACTTTGGCAAGATTCCCAATTTTATTCCTGAGGGTTCCCGAATACAAATACACTAGCTATGCTGTACCCCCCCGCCCCCTCCCCCCAAAACATGCTATGATTGAGGCCCCTACATCAGGACCGAAGCTGACCCTGACTCCAGGTGTTGATGTGCATGGAGTTCATCACTCATTTCGTCTCGTCATCCTCGAAGAAGGCTACTCGGATGGCCAATCGATGCCGGCCTCCAAAAGGAAGACATTTCGGTTTTCTGACATAGGAGCAGCTTATCTCGGGGCCTTTGTCGCAAGTACAGCACGGATCCTATTCGACAGGGTTCTATGTTCGACTCGGTTTCTCTCTCCTTTGTGAGACGAAGTATCCCTTCCAAGGGTCGTCAAGGGCCCTTGGCAGAACCTCTGCTCTGTATGCAGGATCTACTACAGCTGTGCCTCGATTCCCATGCGCGTCAAGTCCTGCGACTGAGGCTTTCTGCAAGAACCCGTACAACTTCATCGATTTCGCTGCCTTGATACCGCTTGGAGTGCGATCAGCCTACGGCTTGACGACCCCGGCTGCCGCAGAGAATTTGATAGCGCACCCCAGCTGACCCATGAGCTTAAATCTGCTTTCAAGCATAGCCGGGCGGCTTGGTGTGTAGTTGTGTGGTTCATGGTGCAGCCCGTTCGTCTTGTCTTAAGATACTCTCGGCCGGCTTCTGAAGCCTTACCCCAGCAGTTTTTTTGAAACGGCCGTCGGAGGGTCCCAGGGCATCGGCATCCGGACGATGGCAGCATCGCTTCGGCCCCGCCCAATCGGTTGGCACTATAAGCCTAAGCCGTCCACGGTGCATGTGAACCGTTCACAATCTGATAGGCTGCAAACGGTTCACATCCACCATGGCTTAGGCTTATAGTGCCAACCGATTGGGGTGGATGGGATGCTGCGGTCGTCCCAGCGGACCTTTGTCTGTAGTGGAGTTTGTGTTGGAAGGTGGTGCAGACTAGAATGAATGAAGTCAAAGCCCCAAGCCTTTCAGGTGAGTTTCTTGGGGTTCAGGATTTATAGGGGTTGACGACTTTCAGGTGGAGTTGAATTTAGAGTTTCTCAGCTCTTGCCGCAAAGCCAGAAACCAACATTATACCCACAAGCCACCAAATGCCTAACTCGCAAAGGCCCCGCATATCCCAGCCTCCCACGAATCCTACAAGGCCTGCACTAGTACATGGGAGCTTCAAAAATGAGGGACCCCAGTACAAAAGCCCCCAAGTAGTAGGAGCAACTGCAGCAAAAACGCAGAACCGAAGCCCCCCAACAGGCATTCCATACTGGTCTGCTACGTCCCTGTGCCTCGGCAGAGTTAAGCTCCAGCTTCAGAGATTGGATTTCGTTGATTCCGCGCTCAGAGGGTTTAGGGTTTAGGGTTTACGGCTTGGGTTTGAGGGTTGCAGAGTTTAGGTTTTGCCGTTCAGGTCTTCTGAGGTGTAGTGGGCACTTGAGCTTTATATGCCAATGCCAGAGCCTTGTAATTGCAGACACCGGAGCACAAGGATACGATCCTTTGGCTGGGTGCAAGAATAAAACAACGCTACATCCCCTCAAATCCTGAAGGGGTTTAGGAGCTTACAGCCCAAGAGCTCAGGGGAGGGGAATCCTCGTGAGGTGGTTCGGCAGCTGAAGCTCATACGGCGGTTTCAGAAGCTGCAGCTTCTGCTGTGCCCTGGATGCACATGGTAGTCTTTGAATTCCAGGAAGGCGTCGGGTTGAAGTTGCGGAGTTCCGATTGTAGCACCGACTGCCTCCTAAGTCTTGTCAGTCCTTGAACTTGGAACATGTACAGTTTAAGACCTCAACTGCAAGTGGTTTCGTTGCTCAGAGACATCCAGCAATGCCAAACATGTCTAGTGCTGAGTTATTTTTTCTGCTAGGCTTTCCAGGAATCACCGCGAGCAGATCTTGGCGTCTGGCAGAAGGTGTCAGTTTAGAACCCAAGAATGCCCCCGTAACGTGCTTCGTCGTACCTTGTAGCGCTCGAATAGTAATCCTTGTATAGTATCCCTACAGTACAAAACATCTACACCCTAAAGCCTACCTCTGTAGCCTGAACCACTACTAATAATACTTATTCCTTATGGTGCCTCATCATACTCATGTTATTCAGGACACCGAAACCCTATTCCAACCAACGGGGTCATGCAGGGCGCCTACATTACACGCCACGCAAATCTTATGATGGTCTTCGTCACCCAAAACGTTGGCTCGAGGCATGTGTTGTCCACCACACTTGACGCCCTCAAGCTCCTTCTTTTCCTCGTGTGTTTGATTGCACCTTGGCTGCACACTGATAGGGTCCAGAGCTTCGAATACCTGCAGCCCTAAACTCAAAATCCTGCATTTCAGAAATTTTCGGATCAGGGATTTTCAGGGTTTCGAATCTAGGGTGACATGCCGACTAGATGCCGGCGGAATGCTGGTGGTGTTCGGATGATGCATTATCGAACTTGACCAGGTCCTCAATGCTCTCTCAGAATCCCGGAGACGGAAGGATCATGATTGGATGTCCTAAAGTCAGCGCCTGCAGACATGACTCAGGGAAAAACGATACCGCACACTTCACAAGCCAAGCTACAATCTTCAAAGGTTTGAAGCTTGAGACAGCTAAGGCACGTCCACAAGATCGCAACCCCCTCAACCCGAAACGCCTACGCTGAACCACAGACCCGAAACGCTAAAACCCCAAATCCTTCAAACCCTAAACCCCTAAGCCATGACGCCAAACTCGATATCCGAGAGAAGGTGTTACGACGACGCCTGTGTCAGATTTGAACGGTTTAGGGTTTCGGGTTTAGGGTGGGGGACAGAGTTGACGGGTTCGGGGTCTAGGGTTTAGGGTATAGGGAATTAGTATAGGGCTTCGGGTTCAGGGCAGAGGGTTTGAAGGCTTTGGGTGTGACAGGTGCTGTTCTTTGGCACGATGCTCTACATTGCTGAGCCTGTGGATACAACCACGCTGCCGACCTACATCTACTGGTGCACGGTCACTGTCACCACAGTGGGGACATGTACCTTGGCCCTTCTCTGGTGTCTTGCAGGGGTTGTATACTTTTGTACATCACTCACACCCTTGCTATGGTACACCCCTTTTGTGGCCCTCCTCAGTAGAGCATCCAGAACCGCAAAGAGCAACTCATGTAGAAACTCCTGTGGAGAGCCTTCACCTGCGGTTGGCCCTTCGTTTTCGACACAGCAGGGATTTATATGTATATATATATACACATAGATACACACATGCATGTGCGTATATAGCATTCTATAATATTACAGAGTTGTATACAATCATAGACACATTCAAACATGCATGCACGGTCCATGTATATATGTATGTGTGTATGTATGCATATATAGAAAGATATAAGTCAAAGTGACTGTTTCGCTCCATGAGAAGCCATTGGCGCATCCTGTGTATCACTGCATGGGGGCGGGATCCTCGCGGATATCTTTCTTTAAGATTCAGTAGCTATACTAGCACCACCGGAACACACAAACATGGCCCCAGGGGCTCACGAATGCCCGCGCTACCGTAAGTGCGACCTGTTCCCTGAAGCCTTCAACGAAAGCCAAGCCATCCTCAGCCCTCAAACCCGAAGTCCTAGACCCTGCGTCCTGAACTCCGAGCCCTAAGCTCCTCCTTTTCCTCCCCAAAAAAACAGCTTTAAGCCCTGTAAACCCTTAAACCCTAAAATCCTAAAGCCCCGTTGAAAGCTTCCCCTCCCGACCTCGTTACTAAGGCGACATGGCACCTGTGACCTGGTCGGGGAAGGCCGGGGCCCGTGAGGAGGAGGAGGAGGAGTGTCGGGGGTTCAGGCTTCTTTGGGGTTTCGGGGTTATTGAGGGTTTCAGGGTTATTGAGGGTTTGGGGTTGTTTCAAGGATTGGTCTTGTGTGATTTTTTGTTGTTTTTGTTTGTCCGTTTCGAGCATTTCTGGTTGTTTTCGGCGGCTTGTTCAGGTGGGTTGTACACAATGGAATGAATGCAGCAAGGGTTGCACGGCCCCTACAGGTAGTTCTAGAAACAAAGCCCAGTGGCTCTGGGTGGGTTTAGGGTTTAGGGGTTTGCAAGCTCCATACCCCAAAGACCACGCAGAGGTGATGGCTGGAATCTTGTGCCTCATCAGTGTGCTCTTCATGGCAATGCCGCTTTCCGTTCCTTGCCGAGTTCAAGCCCGGGTTCAACACCAGGTTCAAACCCCTCATAAACCCGAATATAGTGGCCTTTATAAACCAGGAACCCGAAAAGCTCCCAAACGCACCAAAGATACGAACTTCGAAGCCGCAAAAGCTCCTCAAACGGATGTAGATGCCTCTTGCATGGCTTTCGGGGGTTCGGGTTATCAAGGCTCTTTGGGTGTAGTGTTGCTGTTTTTTGCTGTCCCGATGTCTGGGTGCGAAAAGCAGTCATCTCAGGTCCTGGGCAACGCCATGTCGAAGACGTGGGACGACCGACATCGAATTCTCCTGCCACTCGGCTCCGTAACTGTCAGGCCAGCGCAATCCCCGAAGCCATGATGGGACCCAAGCCTACAGACCCAAAGCCCCAAACCTTCGGCGGCTTAGACTATCCCAAGCCTCCGTTGAGTCCTACACCCGAAACTCAAGAGCCGTTGTCCTACAGCTTAAATGGTTGCATGGCAGCAGATTTCTCCAAGACACTCAAGCTCCCGAGCCCTGGAGCTTTGCAAGGAGACATGTGCATAGCGGCTTTGCTATATTCGTTCTTGCTGCTGTCGTGCCCACTGTCGCGCTGCCTTTCGTGGGGCGCCTGTACTTTTCGAGCAATTGCAGATGCCAGCCTGAACACCTCAGACCCAAAGCCTACACACCGAAATCTTAAGCCCCAAAGCCTAAAACCTTCACCGTCCTGAACACCAAAGCCTTAAAGCGCTACACCCCCTTCCGAGGATGACACAGACACGACGGCGCCTGAAGCATTTAGGCTACTCCGCAGGCTCATGATGCTTATTGTTTTTTTTGGCTTGACTTTTTTTGGGGGGCAGGTTCAGGATGTTGAATCCCAGCGCGGCTTAGCCCTTTTGGGCTTAATTACGGTTAAAGTCGGAGGCTTTCCTTTTGCTTGCACAAGGCCGCAGGTCTTGCCGTGGGGCCTTCCCAATTTTCTCCGAGCCGTAAGCCAGGCACTAAACTTAGGGTTTAGTAGGGAATGCAGGAATGGGGTACAACGGTACAATTATAACTACTATTGCTACCATTCTTCCATTCCCTACTAGCCAAAGGTAAGTAAACTCGCAACCCCAAGGCTCCTCCACCCAAGCCTAAACCCTAAACCCTAAAACCCTAAAGCCCTAGAACCCTGGAGCCCTAAACCCTAAGCCCTAAACCCTAAAACCCGAAAGCCCCAGACTCCCGGAGTCCCGGAGTCTTATAACTTATGAACCCCAACATCCCAAAGCCCAGCAACTGCCGAAGACCACTGAGACCCATTGTGCAACTCAAAAGGAAGACCCTAGACAAAGGAAAAAACCTTCAATATCCGTCAGATACGCAAATCCTCTAAGCCCTAACTTATTAAACCCTAAACCCTAAACCCTAAACCCTAAACCCTAAACCCTAACTTACTAAACCCTAAACCCTAAACGGCCCTAAACCCTAAACCCACCAAGCCTTGCCAGACGACATGCCTAAGCTCTTCAAGAAGTTCGACAGAGACGGAAATGGCGAGTTGGAGATGGAAGAGTTCTGCGCAACTCGTCTTGGGACTTTGGGGGGTTTAGGGGTTCGGTTTAGGGGTTTGGGGGTTTAGGGGTTTAGGGGTTTAGGATTCGGGTTTAGGGGTTTAGGGGTTTAGGATTCGGGTTTAGGGGTTTAGGGGTTTAGGTTTAGGGTTTAGGGGTTTAGGGGTTTAGGATTCGGGTTTAGGGGTTTAGGGGTTTAGGTTTAGGGTTTAGGGGTTTAGGGGTTTCGGGCTTAGGGCAGGTTCGGTGAAGACCCGAGCTAAGCCCGGAAACTTGAACAGAAACCCAAACCCGAAACTAACCTCTACACTGTTTACACCATAAATGAACCCCCACACGCCAAATCACAGACGATTTGCCCCGGAACGTTGCCACAGAGATTCAGCCCGAATATTCACACGCCAGAGGACATCTGCACCCTGATCCTGAGAGTAGGGAATGGAGGAGTGGGATACAATTATTTCTACCATTGCTACCATGCTTCCATTCCCTACTAACCAAAGGTAAGCTACACCCCCCTCAACTCCACAGATAATATCCGAGACCCATAAAGACAAGCTCGAAGCATCACCAGGACATGGTGGCGACAATGCGAGCCCGGTGCCCTAGATGTCTTCCAACCCAAGCCGCAGGAAAGCCCAACTCTCATGGCTTCGGAGACCCTTAAGTTTAGGGTTCAGGGGTTTAGGGCCCGAAATGCTTGTAGTCCACAAGGCCCATAGTGCCGTCAGTAGGCCTTCCCCTCAACCCTAAACCCTCATTCCTAATTCCAGCCTTGCCGGAAGCCTTGAATCCTGAATCCTAGGCCCTGCACCCTTGCTGCTAAAGCCTAGGCCTCCAATCCGAGACCCTCAAACCCCGAACCCGAACTCTAAACTCAGAACCCCAAGTCTGCATAAACTCCAAAGCGCTAAACCCTGAACTCTATGCCCGAACCCCGAAGGCAACTGAAAAATCGTGCGACGCCATGTCCCATGAAACCCAAACCCCTTGACCCCACGAACAGGCCTCACCCCTTGAACCCTACACCCTCAATCCCAAACCCTGTGAGGGCGTCTTTAGACAGACATGCAAGCAGCGCCGCCAAAAAAGCCAACCCTAAACCCTAAACCCTAAACCCAAGCCCTGATCCTCTGAACTGTAGTTTGTAAACCCGGGAGCTCTAAACTGAGGTGGGTGTCAAGCCCGCCGAGGCCAGGGATGTAAGGTTTTAGGTTTCAGGTTTCAGTGAGGGTTTTTTGGGGAGTTTAGGTTAAGGTTTTAGCTTTCAGGTTTTAGTGAGGTTTTTTTTTGGAGTTTAGGTTTCATTTTTGGCAAGACTGTATAACAGGGCATAGCAGCCCTTTGCTACCTTGCGGCTTGATACATTGCGGCGCTGTAAACTCTGATCATCGTGTGCCTTCTTCTCGACATCTGTCTTCAGTCTCTTCCTACGATCTCACTTCGCTAGTCTTACCATTCCTTGCTACCTCCAATCCTACATCCTTCAGCTTAACTTGTCTAACCCTAATCCCCAACCCTGAACCCCCAAGAGCAAGGTCCGAGGCCGAGAATACTAGACTCAACCTTACAGAGCCCTTCCAAAAACCCTCATGCCTTCTGGAAGCCTCGTTATGATACCTTTATGGAATCCTTCTCAGTGCCCGTTGGTGCAGGCCTCGGAGCTTTTCATGGCTTTCGATGCTAACGGAGACGGAGGAATCGACGAACGCGAATTCATGAAGGCGTTGTTTCCGCTGGACTACCGGCGCATCTACCGGCGTGCTTCGGGCATGACATTCGGAGCGTAGGGCTTTTCGACTGGCTGCTTTCAAGGTAGCTGAGTTGTGTCCCCTGGGTGCAGTTGTGTACATTTTGCTACCCGCGCTCGCTCTTGCGATGCATCGTTTCACATGCGAATATAGAGATTGGCGGACTGACACCGAAGGTGTCTGACTGTCCGTGGCGATGGATCCGAAGGGATCTACAAACAGTTCCAGTGTGGGCGGGATTATATGGCCCGGATTCAACTTTGAAGGTCTATCCTTACCTTCCAACAAGATGTAACGACTCTGTCAACAACCGTACGTCGAAAGTCAAAAACCCTATATACGCTGAACCCACACTCGCCGAAGATTCGCGGCACCGAGTGCCTGCTATCGTTGCACAGCCTGGCGGTTCAGTGCAGACTGAGTTGAAGGCAAGCACTCGCTTGTACCCTGCATAGCAACAGTCATATCACACCAAAACTGTCTTGGCGCGCTGTGTTTCTTTTTGAGCCCCTCCTCTTGAACTGATTCGTCAAAGATGTACTTATCCTGATCTTGTGGCTGTTGTTGTTGTTGTTGTTGCGATATTCGCAGGTGTTATTGCCTGCTTTCATTGTTTATGCCACAATAGCGAGGTGTGTCGTTCTTCTTGCTCCTTCGGTTCCGTCCATGATGTCGACGATGAGTGCGGATGTGTTCCTTGTAGTTCTGTGTAAACCTTGGCGACGACATCTTCCTTATCATTTTCGTAGTGTTGGCATCAGTCTAAACAGAACAAGGTATTTGATATTTTCAATCATTGTCATTCGTATCATCGCTAAACTTGCTGCAGTGATCACGACCAGGTTATCATTGGTCCTGGCCATCATTCGGTTGCTGTGGCGACTTCTGCTAGTGGTGCTAGAGTTGTCGTTGTTGTGCTGGTTGCTAGCATGCGGTCCAAAACGTAGCTGCGCAGGGCGTTCGCTTTGAAAGGTAGGCAAGCCAAGACACAAGTCTTGGCAAGTCGCAGTGCCAAATTTTGGATTTCACGAATGCCCCAAAAGTTTCTGCTGCGCTTGTATTTGTTGGGAAAGCTCGTTTAGCCGGGAAATGCCAATGTGCCGTTTCGGCACACAGCACGTTGATACTTCTGGATTGTTGGAGAAGCAGGAAAGTGACCGTGTCGCAGTGTAAATCCACGGCTTGTGTGGTGGCATGGCCAATCTGGTGATGACTTTGTGGTGTTCGCTCGTTTTTTGGCCTTCTTGCGGATGTGTGTTGTGTTCCGTGTTGGAAAAGTGACGGGCAGGGCTTGGCCGTTTTGCTACCAGTCCTGCAAGAGCCTTCGTTCCCTATGGGACATCAGCTGCTAGCTTTGGTCCTAGTCACAGCGGCATGCAATTTTCCATCACAGCGGAGTGCAGTTGCTTACGTGTTTTGCGATCTTGCAAAGAAGGGAGCACCAACAAGCTGTTCGAAACCATCTGCAGAAACAAGAAACATAAACCGCAACCATATGCAACCACAACGTGAAACAGCAAAAACAATTGTAAACCCTTTCCAGAAACCAAAAATACCAAAACAGCCTTAAAAACAAATCAAGAACCTAGCACAACCTAGAATACAATATTTCCGGAACTCATGAGCTGTCAATTCTGCAGAACTCCCCGAACATGCTTGTTTTAGGTTCTTTATTCACCTGGTGTGAGCCTCTAAGACTGGGCTGACATGGGTAGAGATGAACAGATTTCAGAAAATACGCTAATGCCTCAGCCTTTCTAACCCGAAGCCCTAAGCCCTAAACCTTTTAAACTCTACGCCGCTACGCCTCGTAAACCTTCAGTAAACCACCGAAGCCGAGAGTTTCCGAGAGAAACTGCATTGACGGCTCACGGTGCTTTTCCATTCTCTGCAATGGCCCGAGCTGCCGTGAAGCGCATGATGTTTTGGTTTTGCAACTGTTTCGAGAAACTGACATGCTTGAAGCACCCTTTCTTTGGGTGCAGAAAGGCGACAATGCCAAAGGCTCGGGGGTTTTGGCACGACGCAAGAAGAACCTGTGTGTCAACCCCTCCGTCATTTGACCTGCATACCGTGCTTTGGCTGCTTTCGTCGTTGCCGCCGTCGTCTTGTCCTCGTTCTGGTCATCGTCCGATTGCCATCATCATCTACTGTGGCTTGTTTTGCTGCAAATATGGAATAGAAGCCGGCATGCTTGCCAATAGTGTCCTTAAGATTGCTAATTCTGACTGCAGCTTAATGTATATCTATCTATATATACATATATATATATATATATATATATATATAGCCGCAAACTCCATTCTAATTATGACGGCCCCTGCATTATCACTTCTTACTGCTGCGGCTGAGGTGCTGTCACTCTACGGCTGTTGTATCTACGTGGCAACAGGGGGATCCCGACAAGCTCCAGCCTTCTTTCAGTTTCGCACCCGCTTTTCTTCCACAATCCATGGCGCAAGGAGTGTGGTATAAAGCCGGCATCTTGTCCGAGCAGTCCCGCGGCATCACAACTCAAGGTTAACATAATCACACAACCGTCATCAAAAGCAAATGCAGACTTAAAGCAGGATATCATACATTTCATCAATGTTCCAACCCATCGCGGAACAGCTCAACGGACATCAACCGGACATCTAACCCACCTCCGAGCCCCAGTTCGCCAAAACGGTATCCCTCAAGTGGGGTTCCTGCATGGCTAAAGCCGTGTCTCCGAGACTGGAAAAGGCAGCTCAGCCAGGTTGCCCGAACCTCTTTGTCTCTTTGTCTCTGTCTCTCTGTCTCTTTGTCTCTCTGTCTCTCTGTCTCTCTGTCTCTCTCTCTATCTCTCTTCATGTGTTCATGTATCCCAAGTTCCGAAGACCTTCGCCTAGGCGATTGGGACCCAGACGCCAGTCCGCAGCCCCTAAACCCTAAACCGTATGCTTTCCTGGAACTGTTCCGACCGCTAGTGCGAGCTCTTCAATAACCTCAGCCCAAAGCCTCAAGCCCCAAGGAAAGCCCTAAAAGCCCTGCGCTGACCAACGCTTCCGGCAGCAGACGGAAGCTGTCTCCGACAGAGGGTTGAGAGATTGAACACTGTCTCAACCACAACATGCTTGTCCTCAACATGTTGGTGTTGCGGGGTTTTTACGCCCTAAAGCCCTAACGTCAGAACCTGAAGTCCTGAGGCCTGAAGATTGAAACCTAGAGCCAACATTCGAAACCCGAAAGCCTAAACGCCTAAGTCAAGAATTCAAAGACTCTTCGTAGCGGGTCCTTGCCGCGGCCAGAAGGGACCGGGAGCCATGCTCGCTGGTGCTGCGCTACCGATTGGGACAGGGGTGGTGGCAGTGCCGAAGGTCGGAACTCGAGGGTGTGTAGGGTTGTGCGTGGGGAGTCGGTAGTAGAGTTAGTAATGCATGTCCCCTTCTTTTGGTCCCTATATCATTGTGGTAGAATGTATCCCAGATCTTTATTCTCATTGATCAGGCCCTTATACAGTTACTAGGAGTCGGGAGGTCCAGAGGGTTTAGAGACTTGATCGCCGGTTTCAACAGCAACGCAGTCAGCTTTGCCAGTGACTTCCACCACCTTTGAGCCGCGATTGTTCGGATTTCAAGGGCCGCTATGTTTATCGTCACGCTTATTTGCATGAGAGCCTTCTTGCGCTCCGCTGGCGTGGTCGCCATCATCATCATCATCATCATCATTGTCATTGTCATCGTCATCGTCATCGTTATCTTCATCATCATGGCCGCCGTGATCATCATCGACCTCTGCATCGCACGCCTGAAGAGCAGTTGTTGCAGTGTTTGAGTCCTAAGGCTTTCCCACCCTGAGCTGCCCCAGGCAGGTGGTCTTCGGACGCAGCCCCGGCCACTTCTTGCTGGGCTCCTTGGCGACTGACGTCTTTGGGCTTTGGACCTGAGGGCTCAGGGTGAAGACCCGCATGATCTAGTATATTACCAATACTATTTTGGGGGGATTACAAGTATAGTAGTATAGTATAGTGGTTCCCAACACCCTATTCTGATTTCTAAGGCCCCTATATTAGACCTTCTTCAAGTTTTGGATACCCTTACAAGGGGAGTCTAAGTTTGCAAGGCCCTCAAGACTGCTCTCGAGTCCCACCGGCCCTGGCCCGGGACCCTTCAGCCCTTAAACCCTAATAGTACCCTTTAAAAGGGGACCCTATTATAGAACCCTATAGTACCCTTCAAAAGGGGTCCCTATTATAGAGCCCTATAAAGCCCGCAACCTCCACCCAGGGTTTAGGGTTTTTTGCCCGCGCGGCTAGAGTCCGGAGACGCGCTCCTGAGGGTTTAGGTCCTAGGGTTAGGGTCAAACTCCTGAGCCCCGGAAGACATGAAGCCTTGAACCTTCAAGCCAACAACCTTGAGCATTAAGACCCCTAGCCTCCAACCCCTTCGTCAAGCCCGAAGACGGTCTGAAGCCAAAGGAAGAACCGAGAACCCTAAATCAGAGACCTTAGGAGCCCAAAACACACTAGACCCGATACACCTGTGAACCCTGACCCGAACCATTAACCCACAAACCCAGGCCTCTAAAAACCTGGCTCTTAAGTCCTGAGCCCTAACACTCTGAACCCTGACCCCTAAGCTCTCACCGACTCTACAGAGGTCAAGCCGTGCATTGCTGAGCCTAAACTAAAATCCCCCACCCCTGAATCCCCAAACTCCCAACCCCGCAAACCCAAGCTACAAGCCCTACTGGACACGGTGATCTCCGCCGCAACACAGCACACACAGCCAAATGAGACATCAACCTCACGAGGCTAAACTCCTGAACCCTGTACTAAACACCTAAAGCCCCGAAACCGTTGTTTTGATTTCGACGCCTAAAGCCCCAAATCCTAAACCCTTTTGGACCTTAAACCTTAAACCAGCCCTAATTTTGTCCCCAGCACCCTGAACCCTCACTTCATCCCCTAACAGCCCCCATTTGCCCAGGAAAAGGCGCTCCGGCGTAAGAAGAGAGGCGAAGCCTCCTCCCGGACCTTGGCGTCTCGGCAGTTGATTTTGAGGGTTTTTACGGAT